TACACTTAAATAGCGCTTTTCTGGACACTCCACTCAAAGCATTTTACAGGTAATGGGGATCCCCTCCACCACCACCAGTGTGCAGCCCCACCTGGATGATGCGATGGCAGCCATAGTGCACCAGTACACTAACCACACATCAGCTATCAGTGGGGAGGAGAGCAGAGTAATGAAGCCAGTTCATAGATGGGGATTATTAGCAGGCTATGATTGGTAAGGGCCATTGGAAAATTTGGCCAGGACGCCGGGGTTACACCCCTACTCTTTCCGAGAAACACCCTGGGATTTTTAATGACTTCAGTTTTCCGTTTCATCCAAAAGACAGCACCTTTTTACAGTATAGTGTCTCCAGCACTAATACTAATACTAATACTGGGGCATTAGGACCCACATGGATCGCAGGTTGAGCGCCCCCTGCTGGCCCCACTAACACCTCTTCCAGCAGCAACCTTAGTTTTTCCCAGGAGGTCTCTCATTCAGGTACTGGCCAGGCTCACACCTGCTGAGCTTCAGTGGGCTGCCAGTTGTGAGTTGCAGACTGATATGGCTGCTGGCTTTTTTACAGCCTTTATAGCTGTCCATACACTTTTGACATGAACTGGAAGCTTTTGCACTGCAAGAAAGCACTTGGTACAAGTGCAAGTCATGTTTTGCTGTATGGAAGTTTAGCAAAGCAAACAGGAATGCAAACATCATTTCCATTCCACAACACTTCACTTGGGTATTTGCACTCATGTGCGGTTTAATATTATTTCAGGAAATCAGATGTCAGCCACTTTCTGTGAGCACTCCATATAACACCTGTAATATGAAGATTTCGAAGCTTTCATGCTACTTGGTCAGAAAAGATTAAAATAAATTAGAACCATGGCAGTTATTAATAATTCTTATCAAGGCAATTCAAGGAATACAGCGGCAATGAATCTGTAATAGAGCAATAATGTCAAAACACATAAATCCATCAACACATTAACTACTTCTATCAAAATAGATTTTATAACCAAATGCTGTTACATATACAGAATACATACTATCATGTTCTTTAGAATACTGAATACAGGGTAGTCTAGGACAGGGGGAATATGATAAAAACAAATGTTATAAACATGTTTTATAAATACAGGTGACATCAGGCTCGTTAGAAATCAGAGAAAAACATTCATTAGTTTGGGAGTACTTAGGATTACTGAAGCAGTTCAATTAGCACAGGATTCAATGAATGTTGTGAAATACTCACAACTGCATCCCCTTTTTTCATCCCAAAACAAGTTATGACACCGTCCTGATCTGCAACAACAACCTTCAAAGATTAAAGAGAAATTAAGTGAATAATTCTAACAAACAATAATAAATAATGTATTTGCAGAAAATATTTAAGACTTTGTACTACATACAGTACATCAATCAGGTGGGTAGCTGCATCAGCACGCATAGGCTGCAAAGGAACAAGTAATAGGTTTATTCCATGCTGAAAAGAGAAGAAAGAAAACAACGTTTAGCCTTCTTCAGGCTCCTCTTCAGCCTTCTTCTCCACGGCTGAAACGTTGTTTTCTTTCATCTCTTTTCAGCATGGAATAAACCTTTTTACTTGTTCCTTTCCATACATCTATTTTCAAGTCCAAACGTGAGGATAGCAGCATATACCATATTCTGAAAATATTTTGGGAGTATTTCTTTGTGTATATTTGACGTTTATGTTCAGACATTTTAATTTGGAAAATCTGTTTTGTTACAGAGCACAAAGAATGTCCACGGATTTCTATCAAGAAAGAATAGTATTAAGTCTTTAAAAATATTCCTAATCTAGGAAGACACCACCTTTTGTGTTGCTTTGCGTCCCAGTGCTGGAAGGAGCCTCATTGTCTTCTGTGACGTTACTCCAACCTGCAAAAGGTTTCCATTACATTGGCAAGAGACTGCAATACTTTATAACAAGGAGCTTAGCATACTGTATGTTGTTATTAGGCAGCCTAAAAGTGTTGCAGAAAATATACAGTAACTGATACTTTATATTACTACTCCATAGTAGAACAGAGTGACTTTCTTACAGAAAAATAATATCCTTGAAGACAGAATCTCTTTAGAGTACAATGCATAGGAATCCCTCCTGCAATATAATTATAGTTGATTAATCAACAACCTCATAATATAATTCAGTGGTTCCTAGCCCTGGTCCTGTGAGACTCCAGGTCTGAGTTTTCATTCCAACTGAGTTGGTGATCACTGGCGCTGACACCTTTAATTGATCTCATTGATTATTCAGACATTTGTTTATTCATTCTTGAACTCAGACTTTGATTTTAAAAATAGCTGCTTTCAAGGCTATTGTTCCAGCAACTCCAGCATACAATACTTTATGCTATCTCTCCTCAACTCGTTAAAAAAGACTTCTACTATATTATTTCTCTATGTACAGGGTCATTTGGTACCATTTCTTGATGAGGAACTTTCTCAACCTCAGAAATTTAAAGAAGGGTGATGTCTATTGCAAATTGCAACGTTTTTAGGAGTTGAAAGCTCATTTTAAAATTGAAACCAATTTCCCTTTGATAAAGAACTCAGCAGGAAAAAAGGTAGAGAACACGGGAGACTAACACAATAAAGAGCGGCATACCACGAACAGATTGTAATTCAGCAAAATAACTGTATTATCGGTACCGCGAGAAACCGGGGAACTAAAACTAAAACTCAACTAAACGTTCACCCTGAAACCTGATGTACAGCCATATCTCGTTAGTTTTTCTTTGTGTTCATCTAAACGACAACGAAAAAACAGATATATTTCGGGAATTGAAGGGGGGATGAAATACGTTTTAATATAGTAGACAGGAAAGGAAAAAGTTGGGGATGATAAGAATCTAATGTTAACTAGTATCTCAGGAATTAGTAAAGTGGAGAACAGACCGCTACCCCAAGACGGACACAACACATTAAACCTACTTGCATCACTGCTACCAACTGGTAAATCGGAAATCAGGAGCAAAGGCGCTACATTCTTACCTGAAGGTAATCGACGCGATTCAAATTTAATTCCATATTTCCTAGTTTGTAATAAACGTCCCTCCCGCTGTGTTGAAAATATACAGTACGGTAACTTAATTTCGTCTCGGCAGAGATCGGATTAATCGGGGGGGATTAGCGAAAAGTCTTCATGTGTGGCGATATGAGGGACTGAAGTACGGGCGTTAACGTGTTTAACTTCTCCGCCTCAGTACCGGAGAAACACAAGCGATTGCGAAAATGAAGCAATAGTAAGCACTATTAATTGATTAACGTCGTGATTAATTCCAAACGCAAGTTAAAGTATGATTCTTCGTTTCCATGGAGAGGAAGGGCGCTGAACAATCGGAAAGGGTATTGGATCAACCAGGCCGCGGGCCACGAGTATTGAAAAACGAATCTGATTGGCTGAGCGGCATCCAGAGGCCTAACAAGAACAACACTGCCGCCTTGCGGCGTTTATGACACTCTGCGACTTGTACCCAGAAATAACACTCGGTGAAAATTCTTAATTTTAACAGCAAATATTCAATGCACTACTTTCTCATCCTTTTTCTCTCCACGATAACAATAATTCATTTATAATACATTGAATAACTGAATTGTATAAAATAATTTAAATTTCTTCATCATTGATTTTATTAGATATGCCGCTAATTATGCATTATCTTTATATTCAGCCACCACTCCAAAATTGACAAAACGATAATAAAAACAGCTAAGAATATTAAGGGCTAAAATTTAAATGATTGTTCTGCGATTTGTGAAGACAAACTGGTTCATTTCGTACAAAAAAACTGAAAGCAAAATGAGTTGTGATGCATTGGCCGGGAATCGAACCCGGGCCTCCCGCGTGGCAGGCGAGAATTCTACCACTGAACCACCAATGCGCTCCATAGCGACACTTCGAGTTGTGATCCCAAAATCACCACTCTTTTGAAAACATTGTGTGCTTTCCTGCGTATGTTGACGCAGCTACCTACGCCAACTGTTTAAAAAATAACTATTTAATATACTTCTGTTTGTAAAGTGTCATCTCAGGGCGCTGTACAATAAAGGAGACAGATGCGCAAACATTAGAACAGTGAATTCAACAGAACTAAACAAGGGCGTAAACTCGAGCTGGAAAATAGATTCATCGCTCCACAGCCGCTTTCTGTGGAAAGAACACGCCTTAGGACACTCTTCGTTCCTGAAACTAGCACAATACTGTCCCGACGGGCTTTAAGAGAAAAGTATGCTCTAATTAAATAGGAAATAACAGCTCTTACTGTAAATATTTCTGCTCATGCAAAACATTTGTTTCTATATTACACCTGGAAACTTCAGTGTCCCTCAGAAATGCCCAATATCAGCAAAAGCAACCAGGGTAAACTCAATAACCGTACTTGTTAAGCAGTACTTGCTAACCAGCAAGGTTTGTTTTTGACGGATTTCCCCTACAAACCGAGGAATCATAGCAGGATTCATATAAGCGTAGATATGATTAGGACTCCAAATATAAAAAAAACAAATCCCCCAACAGGCTCCCCAAACGGTAAGAAAACGGATGGATGTGAAAAAGAAATACGTCTGTAACTGTACTAAAGATCTGTTAACAGGGGACAACTTTGTGAAGGACACATATTTTAAACAAATACCTATTACAGAACTAAAATTATGATGGGTGGATGTATATACCTTGTACTACGCAAAACCCGTAGTAGCGAACTATAAGTGGCACATCTTTTAAATAAACTTGAACTGCCTTTTAAATAAATTTGGTAGCAAGACACGGTTCACTACGCATGACAGAGACACTATTTTTAAGCCCAGACTCCTCAGAGTTTCATGTAGCGCATTGGTGGTTCAGTGGTAGAATTCTCGCCTGCCACGCGGGAGGCCCGGGTTCGATTCCCGGCCAATGCATACAACACTTTTGCATTTTCTTGTGCTTTTAAAAAAGTTTCAAGAAAATTATGAGCCCCCTCTGAACACACTGGTCACTGTTATGACGCTGCTGTTCCTTACTTTCTCCGCCACGGTGTTAAATGACTTCGAGTGTGATACAACTCTTTTCATACAACACATTTATCTTGTGGATCTATATGGGAAGCTGTAGTATTTTAACGTAAAAAAAAGATCACATTTTTAAAATTTGTTTGGCTTCTAAATACTATGCAGTAAATAATTACAGAAACAATGCAAATATTACAGGTATCTATAGAAATGCAGTCCTACGTGGAATGATGGAAACACACTAAAAATAAAATTACGACATTCATGACATTTCTTCTGAACAAGGTTGAAAGTCAGAAAGTTTTTGAAAGGTTGAAAGTTTTTCACAGGCCTCCTCTGCTCAAAAGAAGGGCACTATCAACATAGTGTACAAATAACATTTTTTTTCTTTTCCAAATCTACGTATAACCAGCGGCATATAAACATATGAAATATGTACGAAACGTTTATAATTATAGGCTTAATTACGGACAAAAATACGTCAGTATTATTGGGGCTGCTGGCTCAGAATGGCTGATGTGCTGCTTCAACTCGCTGGTGAATGAAGTGGGTCCCAAAATGTAAAGGTTTTTGGACAAAAAAAGAGCAATGTTCATGTAATTAATTGAAAATTGCTTCTTCTGCTTCCAAATTTGAAATACAAAATACAAAATATGAAATCCAGGGGGAGCAGCCAACACAACATGCGCCAGTGATCATTTTCCTGTTTTTCAGCACATCCAACTCATGCATTCACTATCCACAAAATCACTCCCCTTCAATACTGGAAAGAAACAAGCTCCATTTGTGTTTATCCTGGTAAGTGCAGAACACTGGGTTTTAGCTGTGACCAACAGTCACTCCAGTACAGTATATCAGCTGTGACCCCCTCACATAATGCTGGCTGGACTTGATTTTGCCTTGCATGTAACATTCTGTACGTGGGCAATTTCCTCTCTACAGCTCTCATACGTATTAAACGCCTGCTGCACAATCAGCCTTACATTTACTCATGCAAGCCCATGGCACAGAAATGTGATTTCACATGTCCTCTTCTGGATAAAAATGGTTGGCCTCTCACCTGCCTTACCTTTTCAGCTTTTCCACCAGCTTTCCCAGGCCGCATTGCGCTCTCCTTGACGGGAGGCTCCGCGACAGACGCTTTTTAAAGGGTCAGGCCAGTGCTTCTGCGCCAGCGCATGGAGCCTTCGGTTTCCCAGACCTCCCGATTTACCCCCTCTTCCTGTACCTCAGCGCCCACCCAGCTCTCCCATCCTACCCCTCTGGCTTTCTGCCTCCAGCCTCCTCCCTGTGTTGTTCAGTGGCACAGCTGGGGGAGCAATTCAGCTTAAAAGGAGCCCCGTATGTCATAGCATAGCATTGTCCCTGCTGTATGAAAGGAAGAAAATCAGGCCCAGCCCATGATGTTGGGTCACTGCAGTCGTAGGCCTGCAAGAAGGACCTTCTTCATCACACCACCTGCTCTCTGTACAAGGTGGATTCTCTTCCTGTGGCAGCCAGAGGTTGAGCCTCTTTCAGTCTCCCGCTCCCCCTGCTCCTCATGTCCATCGTCTTCCTGCACTGCTTTTGGTCGTGCCCAGCTCCCTGGCAGTGTTGTCACGAGAACAGGGCAGCCCAGTTCGGTGGCCAGTTGTGGAGCACAAAAATAGGCAAATAAATACCTAATTCCAGAGAGGCAGATAAAACAGGGTACACCCCCCCCCCCCCAACCCACCAAGCTATACCCCTTAGAACGCAATAATGTTCGAGAGGGGGACCAGAATAACAACTAGCAGCAGGGGTGATGTAAATGTAGCGCTAGTTCTGAGTTGGAAGCCAATTTTTTTTCTCCAAAACTCCTGCTCTTTGACTCCTGTTGCCTCCACCTGTGACTGAACTGACCTTCCCTGCTGCGGCAGGTGGCATATCAGCAACTCCAGCCCTAGATTCACACCCTGTCTCCAGTGTAACTCCTGTCCGTGGCACAGTAATTAAAAAAGTAAGCCTTTTCCCCAACTCACACACCCGGTCATGGTCAAGTCTCAATTTAGCAGAGAGCTCACAATTGGATCAACTATATAACAGCATGCTTTTCACTTTTACACCGCACAATTTAAATCTGGAACTGCAGCATATTTCCCTTGAAAAGTGACCAACAGACACTCACACCTGAAGAAGGCTCCACGGCCAAAACGTTGTGTTTTATTTTTTCTTCTTTTTTTTCAGCATGGAATAAACCTATTACTTGTGACCAGCAGATATGCTTTCTGGGGGTGATGGAAGTGTTTCTTCTCTAATACACCACCTGCCCCATGCCCTGTTCTGCATCAGCTGGGTTTGGTGCTGGTTCTGTGCAGAACTGTGTTGGATTCAGCATTTGCAGACGATGGACGAAATACATAGTATTGCCGTTACTACTAGTAGTTCCTGTCATTTGAAGTAAAGATACAATGTATAAACCTGTTAGTAATTATAGGTATATTTGTAAATGTAAATCTTCTCCACTGCTGCCTTAGTCTGTTTTTAGGTATCGCATTAAAATAGTAAGTGGGACACTGTAGTACTTATTGCCAAAGCAGCTGGGAAATCACTCACATGACTGTCAGCACAAAAGATTTACCCTCCCTGTAGCATTTTCATTCCAGCCTTTATCAGCTCTCTTCTCTGAAGTCACATGGCACAGGATTATAGTTCCTATAGTTCCTTTCCAGTTTTCTGATATTTTCAAAAATCTAGGAAAAACACCCTAAAATTATGATTGGTATGCCTGGTGATAATTATGCTTTAAATTGCTTTGTTTTAGACTTAAAGAGGCACAAAGGAATTTATCCAGTAACATGACAAGTCATGACAAATCAGTCACTGAGCTGCAGAGGTAAGGTAAAACACTCTACATGAGCTACTCAGTTGTGGTTTGAGTTTGCACAAAAACACTATAATGTTTCTTCTTTCTACGTTTCTGCAAGGAAATAACATTTACGTGTTCGTTTACACCAGATGGACAAACTTTGCTGCCAGTGGACTTTGATAGAAGATGTAATACTATAATCAATTTAATGTACTGTATCTTAATCCTAAAATATCAAGATGGCGGTGGTGCATTGATTTTACAGTGCAATTGTGCGGCACTTACATTGAATGGGTAAGACTGTGCAATATATTAAGTGAGATGAGCTGTTGAGATGATTATCATGCGGTAACTAGATAGTAAGGGAATACGAGCTTTCTCACAGAGAGACGCTGTCACTTGTTTGTGTAAGTCACACAGTGGCATGTGTAATAAATCCTATTTACTTTGGTTCACAAAGAATGATAATTAAATCAAGATGAAGGAGCGTAGAATTTGAAATGACAGCTATAGGTAGTGCTCATAATTAATTCTGATTTTAATTTATTGTTTTGTTCAGATCTTGTCAGTTTTCATCAGGAAGGTTTGAGCTAATTGATTTAAATTGTTCTGTTAAAAAAAAATCTCTAGGTCCAAGAAATATTTGTGCATTACAAAAGCTCATCTGAGATGTATGTGTGAAGAACTCAATAGAAAATGAGAAAAGTCTAAGTAATATGAAATAATTAAATTAAAATATATAAAGCGTTTTCTGTCTTCTTTACAAAACCGATAAACGATAATTACTTTGGCTCCAAAGTATACTGAGTTTCTATACCTGGATTTTGTAACACGCTGGAGGAGTTCCTGCTTAACATCAGAAGATGCACTGAAAAATACAGACTCTTACAATATCGATCAAAAGGCAAATCATTTTGTGATTTACATAACACTCTTGACTACAGTTTTTCCCTTATTCCAAAACAAGCCACAAAAGAAAAGATTATTTGGAACAACAGGATAAGTCTTAGATGGCCAGATGTGATTACAGAATGAGGCTCTAATTGACCAGCTGTCTGCCTTGTTTGCAGTTGAGTTCAGAGCATGTTATATTTTAGAAACAGGTTTTGAAACATCATACATCAGAATTTCCAAAGACCTCATCTAACACTGTTTCAAACACTTGTATCTTTAGTGGTACCCTACTATTTCAGGAATTAAACAGCAACGTAGCAAAAAATAACAAAGACAGAATAAAGAAAACCACCAGTTTTTCTTCCAAAGCTTTACCAGCACTTTGAATAAAAAATAAATACAAAAACGTAGCAATTTAACATGGACTGAGTAAAGCAGAAGTCTTAATATGTCTATTAATATTTATGTCCTGTAGAGACAAAGGTGTATATGAAAATGCACAATTCAGAGTACATTGGCATTTTTTATTTAGAAATATTTGTGTTTCAGCAGTATGTATTTTTCCAGTTATTCGAAACCATAGTTCATAGTACTCCAATGAAGTGCTTTAAAAACAGATGTTCTTTTCCATGAACAAGACCCATTTCTTTTTGTGACATTAAAAAAACAAGTTATGGTTAAAAGCATTATAGTAATAACTTAGTAATGATTATAGTATTAATGATTGTACAGATTAAAATGTTATATCTTTTTATTTTTTTACAGTTTTTACAGTCTGATTAAGAAACTTTCAATGACCTCTAAGCAAACTTTTTTTACCTAAACAGTTCTAATTACAAAATTATTTTTATTGTGTTCTATGTGCGCTTCACCCTATATCAGCATTGAACAAAAGCAATATATATATACCCTGCATAGATTAATCAAATACAAAAGTATACAGCTTTTTAAATCAATATGTTACAGTTATATTTTACTGTGAAAACCTATAGAGCTGAAAACACACACCAGAAGGAATAGGTGCAATATCGTTTCTGAATGCTAAGAACTAAATTGACTAAATTTAAGAGCAAAAATATACAAATTGTACCTGCTGGACATTGTATAATGTATAATTTAATAAGAAAAAATACTAGCCAGATTGAAGTAAAAAAATAATCCATATACGTGTTTCTTAAAATAATGAGAACAACTCTAAAGTGATTTCATAGTATTAAGTCATCATACAGATGGTTATAAATACTTATATCAACACATCAACAATAGTTAATATTACAACAGTTTAACAGTATAAAATCCTAATAAAACCATAACTTTTTTCATTGTAATAAAAGAAACTATACTGATTGTAGAAAATGTTGTATAGTCCTAGTTTATCAAGATGATTGTGTGTACTGTTCCATAACATCTTCTAGGAACAATGTTTACCATGTCTACAGCATAGGATTAGGCCCTAATCTATCTAAAAACTAGATTTATTTAAAAAAAAAAACTTATTAAATAAATATGGTGAAATACTGACCACTTTTTTCATGAACCAATTTTAAAAATGTGTGAAAGTTTTCTTACAGAAAAATAAATATTTTGTCATTTAAGCATATGCTAAACTAGATGAAAATAAATTTATCATGATAATAATTTAATTTGAAAATGTCAAGTCACATTTGTTATTGCCATTGTTTGTGCTATTTTATAAGATCAGTGTGTTACCCTTATGTACATAATGTTTTACATCTTATGAACTCGATGTCTTGAGTATCCAAACCATTTTCAACAGTGTAATTATTACCAAACACAGTAAAACTCAAGAGGTCACTATAGCAGTGAGGTAAGTTAGAAAGGTTTATACATATACCGTTCTGGAAACTGCCAAAACTATATATCTATTGAATTATTTTCGGATTTTTCATTACTCTTTGCTTTCAAGCATTTGTCAGGAACTGGAGCAAAAATGGTCTTAAACAAACACACCAGCTTGTAAGGAATGACATTCAAGCTGCTAGTTTAGGAGGGCTGACACTTTGAACATCGAAGTCTTTGTAATTTACCGCAAATCATAAATGCCATTAGTTCTTTCAGCTTGACAGTTAAGCCATTCCTGTAATCTGCTGTTCACGTCATTCACATCTCGTTGTGTTAATGTTGAGTTTATCACTGAGCTTTTGTATCAGCAGGGACAGTTCTTCTGTGGCTTGAGACTTGTCTTCCAGAAGCTCATAACGAAGGCTGGATATATCCTGTTTTATTTCCTTCAGTTCGCCTGTGAAGTACACAAAAATACAGCAATAACACTAGCACTGAACGCAACGGTAAAAGGTGTATGTAATTGTGCCTTAGCTAAATTCAAATATATACTGTATATTTATCATGTAGTTTAATTTATAAGGATTATGCTTATTTCATTTGCCAGTCAGTCATGACAAGTCCTGTCAATAAAGGAAATACACAAATTAGAATCTGGTAGAATGTTCATGTGTACTATGTAAATTAAAAAAGGTATTGTATACAATGCCAAGGAAAAGTTTTTAAATTCCCTTTTAGATGACATCTAGCAAGACACCCTTGTTTAATCAAAACCATTTTTTCCCAAAATAAAGCAAAAGGTTAATTTATACCATTTCAATATTTGAGACACGATGGTGTATGAAGTAGAAATAATTATTAAAAATCATTAGGTTAATGTAAAAAAATAAGTGAATCTCTAGTCTACTTTACAGAGTTGTCCAGCACAAGGGAAATTGGGTGGTTAAATCATTTGGTAAGAAGTAAACAAGGACTGAGTTTGGGTGGTCCTGTCCTGTATAATTCTCAGAATCTTTCTGAGTTTGGTGCTCTCCATACAAATCAGTGGATACATATTATGCCACAATTTAAAGGAGGACTGGAAAATATGTAATATCTTGATGACTCTTCCTCGGACTGGTTATCCTGTAAAGCTCTTCCCAAGTGCAACCCTGAAAATCATTCAGGAACCACAGAGTAACATCTAAGGATCTGCAGAACTCCTTCATTGTAGCTGATGTCAGTGTTCATGCCTCAACTATTGGGAAAATAATGAATGGAAATGGTTTTCATGGAAGGACAGCTGGACAGAAACCACTACCTCTGGAAAAAGAACAAGGCTCAAAACAAGCTGAATATTTCGGAGGCAGGGAGAAACATTTTGTGTGGCTAATACAAAATACAGAACTATCAAAATAACCTCTTCCTGACCATCAAGCAGAGTGGTAAGAGCATCATGATTTGGGACTGCTGTGCTGCCTCAGGACAAGGAAGCTTGACATCATTGATGGAATCGGGAATTCAGTGTTGTATCAGAAAGTCAAAAATGGTGTTTTACGTTTAATCATATAAATATTCATGATTTATTTAGACTTTTATGAAGGTCTAATTTCATTTTAGATCTAAGATGGGTGGGAATACAGATTAACACAGGAAGTTCACAAACATTTTTTGGTGTTGTATTTGTCATGTTGTGTGTTATGCTGTGCAGGTAGGCAACAACGAGGGGAAACTCTAAATTGCTCAACAACATCTTCCTCCTTGGGCCAAATTTCAATAACATTTTTATATACAACTGGTCAACAGGGGTACTTCGAAAATCATCTATGAAGGACCTGCATAGAGCAGGCACTGAGGGTCCTCTCATTGTTACTCCTTTTCAGATCTTTAATTGCTCAATTGATAAGTCAAATCACCTGTCTTACTCAACCATTATTTCAAAAGAAATATCAAACCTGCAATACCGCATTCATTGAGGGGCTGTATTTAATCTGATTTATTTACACAAGTTAAAGTTCTCATCGGGGAATCTGATGAGGACCTGATCCCATCATGATCTGAAAAGGCACCCCCTGTGTGATGTACTACAGCATCATCCACTTTGGGTTTAATGTTTAATGGCGTGATCCTCCAGGCTAGAGTTCAGGCTGGATTGGAATGGACATTAATGGCAGATATAGAAACTGCCAGGAATACAAAATACTAATTAAATGTATTAATTAAATAATGAATAAAATATAAAAAATATAAAAATACCTTTTCAAAAAAGTTTGAAATTCTGAGATTAGTTATGCAAACATTCCCAGTATTTTGTTCAGAAGCAAATCATTGGGTTTAATAAAGATGATGTAAGACAGTCTTACCTTCATTTACTTCATCATTCTCTTTGTCAACCTGTGCCTTTAACACATAGCGTTTTATGAGGCGTTTCATTATTTGCTGTCAAACAGAGGAGAATGTTTAGTGTGTTTAGTGTATTCATTCACATGTCTTGAAATAGCAATCATTATGGTTTAATTACAATACTGTTAAATTGAATAGACCTATTACAGCAAAGGACAAAACATTTAGCATATACCCAAGTCAATGGTTACTTGCCTGATAGCGTGTTGGTTGATTGAGTATACTGTTAAAGCTGTGGGACTCTGCAATCTTCAAATTTGACTGAGTGAAAAGGTTTAGCTGCAATAATAGTAATAAAACACAAATTGCACAAATTATCACCAAGGTCTTGCTATGATAATGCATCCCATTTTTTTTCAGGTGATCATTGTTTCATGCAAGCCTCACACTTCTACTCACACTTGTACAATAGAATCTTGTACAACTAAATGTCATCCACACTTAGCTAAGATACATCTATATCACCCTGCAGCTCACAACTGGTAACCCACTGAAGCTCAGCAGGTGTGAGCCTGGTCTGTTCCTGGATGGGAGACCTCCTTGGAAAGCTAAGGTTGCTGCTGGAAGAGGTGCTAGTGGGCCAGTAGGGGGTGCTTGCCCTGTGGTCTGTGTAAGTCCTCATGCCACAGTAAATTGATGGGGACACTATACTCTAAAAAGGTGCTGCCCTACAGATGAGACATAAAACCAAGTGTGTGTAGTATGACTGTGGTTGCTAGGAAAGAGTTTGATGGTGTTTGTGTATGCCAGCAAAGGTGCTACAAAGTTATGTTGGTACAGTATTTGATAATATAAGCCTTTATCAAGGTTTGACTATTCTTTATCATATAGGAATGTGCTGTTTTGCATTATATGTTACTAAACCCCATTGAATTCGAATCAACAACATCACTTAAAAAACAGAACTTCACAGAATACCCCTGCCTTACAAAAGGTTTGTCTTTTAAAAGCAGAAAACAATTATAAAATTAAGAATTTATTTAAAAGACACATTTTTATTTGGAATTTAACCTTTTAAAGCCTTTTGCCTTTTTTTAGTAAAAATGCACATTTTTGATCTTTTACATTAAAAAAGTGGACAAAAAAGTATATGCAATATTTTTTAGAAAACAATAACCAGCGCAAATGTGCTCTGTCTCTAACAGAAGACTGCATCACTGCTTTAGCCTGGCTTTATAACTATTCATGATTCCTTTTGAAACACTGTATATTAAAACAAATACAACTGAACCTTGTTGATGATTTTAATAAAGTTTTGACTGTTGCATGAACAAAGTTTTAAGGTCAATAGTGACACAAAAAGGATAGGGGGTGTATCTCTAATATCCCATAGTAAATAGTGCAGTTATCGATATGCAGAGGTTTGAGAACTTACCCTTGACTTGGAGTTGTCCATTCCTAGCTCAATATCTTTCTTTAGCCTTCTCCTTCGACATTTGAAGAGGTTGACCACTCTCTTGATGCAGTGCCAGAAAGACTTTGGACTGGGCACAAGGCTGAAAGGAGGCGGTAGTGTTTTCCCATTGTCAAAGTAAGAGAGCCACAGCTTTGACCGAGCAAATTTCCATTCCACATCTGCATCATCCTTTGCAAAATCAGGGAGAGATATTCTCACATCAATTGGTTTCAGGTAGATATTTAATAAAAGGCAAACTCTGTGGTGTTCTCAAGTGTAAGAATGAGCATTGTTTATATATGTGTGTGTGCATGGGGGGCATGTATTACTATCAAACTGAGGACAAAATATAGTTATTTCCACATAGTTAGGAAAACATGACATACATGATGTGGAGATTTACCTGTATGGGAAATTACTTACTTTAGAAACTATGTAAATGAGCAATTTCATGTGTAGGGAATTTGTTCATTTGCAATTTACAAGTTCCATCTTATTTAAAGGTTGTTTTAAAGCTAAAACTAGCTAGAAAAATTAATGTCAATAGTAAGTCCTCCTCATACACAAGTGGGTTATTTATTGGTTTACCTGTTTCCCTCCAAGCTGACAAGTTTGTTTGTTTCCTATCCTATTTTGTGGAATACTATCCTTTCCATTAAAAAAAAACAACTTTTGAGCTTGGATCTCTCACTAGGGAAATATTTCCTCAAGCTGTATTCATATTATACTGGGTTTTCATTTCATTCAGGCAGTGTAGTCCTGTTTTGTTGCTTATGGTTTTATGATTGATTGTGTTTTACGAAGTTCTTCTGTGTAAAGAACAGACTTACAATTTTACAAACATGCAATCTTCTACAAAGATTAAAACAGCTTCACCTTTAAGAACTAAAACTTTAAAATGGTTGGTTTAGACATAGTAAGTGCACTTTTGGAAAAGTATTTGTGTCAGCATCCAGGGAATGTGCGCAAGCAGGAAAAAGGACAAATTGTTAAAAGCAAAGAGTGTAGCATACAATCCAAGAAGGGTACTGTTGAAAGTGATCCAATAATAAGACCACCTACTGTATGTAATTCTGAATACAGTTCTTACCTCCACATTGAAAAAAAGGATAGATCAATCATTAAAAAGTCCAAAGAATAGTAAAAGACATACATGAAGTATGTGACATTCATAATGTTTTCAATTTAACTTTATTTGCAATTAAACTGAAGGTTACTAAGTTGCAGATATTCCCAAATTCTGATTAAAGGTTCAATAAAGCTCGAATAAACACAAAAATTGGTTTAAGCTCTGACGTCGTGTGAACACAGTTGAGTCCCATCCTGCAAATAAACATTTCAATTTCTGTGTAGGTGCTCAACTGATCCGATCTGCTAGTACCATCTTGAAAAAAGTCACCTTACCTCTATCTCTTGATACGAGCTGTTGATCATGGCAATCAGCATATTCAGCAGCACCACCACCATGGTGACATTATAAATTCCGTATAAAACGTAGCCGATGTTCTCAATGAACTTGTGATCATATTTTAGGACCACCGATGATACTTCAGACAGTCCAAAGATAGACCAAAACAGAGTTTTAAAACTCTCTTCAACTCTAAACAAGGGCACAAAAGAGAATTTTAACACATCTTCACTCCACCAAGTTACTATTTTTAAATGGAATTGCACTTGTGTCTCAGAAGTAATGGTGCAAAAAATTGCAAATAAAGTTGAAATATTTTCAATTACTAACACTTCCCGGTTGAAGGGAACGTAATACTTGGATAGACTAAGGAAAACCGATTATCTGTAGCCTACAACGTGATCCAGGACTTCATAATTCTGAAAGATATTCATAAGACAGCTCTGGAGATGTTTTCAAGGACATCAGCAATACAAGATCCTGAAGAAACCAGTGGAAAGTGGAAAAAGGTTTAGGTAGGATTCAAGACATAAAACAGGAGACATGTGATTAAATAGAGCATTAGGGGAGTTTGAAACCAGTGTGTTAATCATATAAATGTTGCTGGCTCCATGGAAAGACAGGTAACTCAACAGTGCCTTTAAAATAGGACACTCAATGTGTGGTCCTTCAAGTCCACTCCACTGCACACTGTTGCTTTAAGAGATAAAAACTGTAGTAAGTGCAGGGAATAAAAAAGTGGAAGTTACTCATCCTTTTCTTTCCCATGGAATAGTAAGCAAATATTTAGAAGAGTAATTATTTTCAGTTTTCCAGCTCAGTTATTGTACATAAATTGTGTAACCCTACTTTCTACATCAGCTACTGATCATCTTTACTTCCTAATCATACACTCTCTGCTGGTAAAGAAAAAGAAAATTACTGCAAGTAAAAATTTAGATTCAAGCACTGGTTGGTAAGTAAAATTGAACGCTGCAAAAAAAACTTAAAAAATGAAATGCAATGCAACACTATTCAAGGATGTGCTCTGCTTCCCATGTCTTGCCACGAACAGTTTCCTCCAAGTTCAGAACAGTGTGAAATTAGCAGGCAATGGAGTCACCTCATGGGTCGGCATGCTGATGTTATGCTTTTCAATTTAGTTTGGGTCACGCAAGGACACTTGAAATCTCAAGCTGCTAGCTCCTGCTTAGATGGGCATTTTTTGGTTATCAAATTAATTAATATTGCAAATGAAGTCTTCTTCCTGTCTAATAATATTCAGTGTGTTTTTGCGGGCAGCTTGCAGCACTTACGAAGAATTAAATATAGTTTAGTGTAAAATCTGAACGGATGTGAAAACGCTAAATAAAACCTTGCTCTGCTGTATTTTGTATATGAAATAGTGGATTACTTTACCACATACTGTACAGTACTAAAAGCTCCTAAATGGAAATCATTAGGACAGATTTTATTTTATTAAAGTATCATTTGCTGTCAATGAAAGAACTGAACAGTACCGTTTGAATGAAGGCTCACAGGCTATACTGTCAAACAGACTGTCACTGTACTCACGTGGTAAAAGCTGGGTTGACTTTGGCTCCAAGGTAGTACGAGTAGAGAATAAACATCCCAATCATGAAGGCCAGGAATACCATGATGAACAGAACCATGAACTTGAAGATGTCCTTCACCGTTCTGCCCAGGGAGATTTGCAGTGGACCAAAGCTCTCATTTGCAGGCAGAATATAAGCAATCCTGGAAAAACTGAGCACTACAGCAATGGCATACAGGCCTTCAGATATGAGCTGGGGATCAGAAGGAAGCCATTTATCTCTTGCTGAAAGAGAAAAGAAACACTTTTCATGGCTATTAAATGCCTCAATCCAATTGTCTACTTTCTATTAATCATAATGTATGTATGTTTAAATAGGAATTGATAGTATAAAGAGCTTTTATTAAAATAAATGATTAAGTATGTGTCTCAAATGCTAATTTGTAATGAAGGTTTAAGTGCACCTATAATTAGGTTTTTATTTGTAATAAAAGGCTTTAATTATTTTACTGAAAAGTGATGGTCATTCTCCTCTATCAATATGAGACAGGAAGGTTTTTAAAAGGAAAAGGGGTTAGCACAAGCTTGCGATCCATCTGATAATTTCACACACTTTCCCCTTACCATATGTAAAATATTCAATGTCTGGGGGAAGTGTCACCATGGAGAGGTCACTGACATGAATTTTCTCATCTACATATTGTTGAGCTTTAGTGGCCTGAAGGAAGGCGAAGAACCGGGCCGTGAAAGCGGCAATGAAAATCGAGAGCATTCCGAAATCTAGAACATTCCACAGCTGTAAAATGTATTCTCTTGGGCCTTCCATCCACAACTCCTTACATTCAGACCACATCATGCCTGAAACAAGAACAAAGATCAAAGATTAGGATTATTTCTGTGCGAAGCCGCACCTTGTCATACCTTATATGTCTCTTACGAGACATACACGTTTTTACAAGAGACATACGTACAGTATGTTCAATGTTATATTTTTACTTGTAATAAGGGTTTTAGTTTGTGTAATATGTATTGATGCCAGTGACAGGCATGTGTTTGGTAGTGAGTGACAGTTGCCTTTTGGGGCTTAAAAATGTTGAAATTTATTTCGGATTTACACTGGGAGAGCTGTAGGGTGGCACATTGGTTAACATTGCTGCCTTGCCATGCTGGGCCCCTGGGTTTAATTCTGGACCTGGGGCTGCTATCTGTATGGAGTTTGTATGTTCCCCTTGTGTTTATGTGAGTTTCCTACTACAGCCCAAAGACATACTGGTAGGTTAATTGGCTTCTGTCAAAATTGGCCCTAGTGTGAGTGTGTCCTGTTCATGTCTGTGTGTCCGGCTTGTGATAGACTCGTGTCCTGTCCAGGGTGTCTCCCGCCTTGTGCCTGTTTCTTGCTGGGATAGGCTCCGACTAAACACTAAATTGGAAGGAGCATTTCCAAAGTGGATGTATGGATTTATAATTGAGTAGAAGTGTAGTGTGGAGCAAATGCAATGAAAAGGGAAAATGAGAAATCCACAAAATTAAAGGCACAAAGTTGGGGAGGCATTGTGCAGTATACATTTTTAAAATTTCTGCTTGAGGAAATATTTCCCTGGTGAGAGAAAACCACTTTTAAAAGTTGTTTTTATTGGAAAGGTTAGTGATTCCCTAGTTGATACACACACTTAGTATTACTGGGATTTACTGTTTAATGCTTCAATGTCTCTCTTTAAAAGCATATGGAACTGTCAATATATATATAGATTCAGTATAGAAACGTTGGCTTTTACGAAACAAACACATTTTATGAAAATGCACACACATGAACCTGAGATTGAGTTGGAGGGCAAAATGGAAGTGCTTGCATCAATGACATGAACCAGAAAGCTGTTGGGAATGATCTATCATCTGTGATCTGACCAAGATGATTGGTCAGCAATGAAAAGACGAAAGGATTTACTGTCTGGAAGCAGTGGATAGCAGATGCAGGGGAGGTGATGGGATTTAGCATGTGTTTGTCCACTGAACTTTGATTTGTCGCGATAGGTGCCAAATTTTGTGATTAGTGGGGCATTCAAGAAGATGTTCCTGAGCTCTAATCAAAACTCTGTTGTCTCTGTTGTTTGAAACAACAACTGAAATATCCCACTACCCAAAATGAAGTCATCACAAGACTTTTATTACAAGTAGATCTATTTCATATGCCAAATAATCTAAAAACATGTCAAGTCTGTATCAACAAATAGGGGGAGGCAATGTTAACTGAAAGTCTGATTAAATTGATCCAGAATATTTTCTTAAGGATTTATGAGAAGGACTTAAACTCTTAAATCTTTCAAAATCCCAGTTCTCCGCAGAACATAAAACACAGATCCATGAATACAGAAACAATAGGCAGGGACGTAATTTTGTTTTACAAGCAAAATGTATGTTCAAGAAAAGTTAAAGAAAACATCTGAGAGTTGTAAAAGAGTCAAACAAAAAACTGAGGAAAATACTAAAAATGTTAAAAATGGTATGCAAATGAAAAGTCAGAAAATGCAATCACGTACTGCACTGGGTGCTTTCCCAACCTTTCTTGGTTGGTTCTATTAAATCTCAGTTTATTGCATTGCAGTATACATGCTGTTTCACTTATCTTTAAGATGCCCTCTAACAAATGCCCTCTATTAAAGACAATATGATGTAGCACCATATAATAAGTAATACTCAGAGTATTGATAGTAATTCTCATATCAGCCTTCACACTCTCAGACAAACCAAGCACACAACAGTAGCTGAGCAGGTGTTCAAATATTTAACTCTGATTTGTTGACTGAGTGGCAATTCTTTTTAATAGTAGGCCTAAAATTGCATGTAGGTTTAAAATGTAATGATTAAAAGCTTGAGCAAACTAAGAAATATTTTCAAAGAGACACTTAACCATTCTCTGTCGTATATGCTGGATCTGTGCGTGGCATCCACTAAAATCAAAAAGGACTAAATTCCTAAAATTAAAGTAAAAAAAACTACCATCTCATTGTATTCAAACAGGGTGAAAGGTAAACTATTAAATAAGAAAATGAGATTTTACTGAGACCTGGCGCAACTGTATAAGTAATCGTTTTTACATCCTTAAATTCCATAAGGTTTTGTTACATACTCTGATACTTTCTGGTGTAAATTTTGTTTCTGTAATTTCTGAAATTCTCTTAAATTTTAAATGACTGGCTCAGGGAAATGCGGAACATAAAAACACAATGTCATTTTGGAATAATGGAAGTGAAATGTTTTGTAAATAGTGCAGAGTTTTCAAGACAACTGTTGTATTGTTTAACAGCTGCAACAAAACACTTTCACTTCACAGAACAGGCAAACACATGAGCTAGTTGCAGATTCTATCACACTAAACTCTGAAATGCTTCCATAGCTTGATATCACGTTTGAGTGGAATGTTCTAGAAAGCAGAAGCTTTAAGGGTTAGAACTAGCTCAATACCTAGAACCCACACCATGATGAGCATTTCAGTCCAGCTGAACCTGGTGGTTTTCACCCTGAAGATCTGCTTGGGATAATCAGTGACTGTCACATTAGGGAGAGTGGTTATTCCTTCAAATCTGTCGGAGGCATTGAACACCAGCAAGCACAGGAAGATGATGAAGGATGCAGCGTGGGCCACAAACTTCATGAAGGGACTGCGCAGGATTTTTCCAAGCTGCAAAGGAAGATGACACCAGATTAACTGAAGCTTTGATGTTGCATATCTAAGAATGCTGTGGTCACCAAATTTAAAACTATTTCAGGTGGGGAGGTGCATCAGCAAGCGCAGGCTGCAAAGGACCAAGTAATAGGTTTATTCCATGCTGAAAAGAGAAGAAAGAAAACACAAAGAAGGTTCTTCTTCTTCCTCATATCTGAAGAAGGCCACACGGCCTAAACATTGTTTTCTTTTTTCTCTTTTCAGCATGGAATAAATTTAAAACTATGCTGCTTTGTCTACTATAGATTTAATTTTTAAATGTAACCTTGAGTTTGATAATATCTCATTTTAACCAAGAACTTGATAACAAGCATAAAGTATGTACAATATATACATAGTAGATTATACATTGCTCATGCTGAAGGTGCTACATGACTATGTAACGCTATCCTCGCTTTAACCCTTAGTTGTCATGACCTGTTGTTTGAGGTATTATGTTAAATACTATACTGTTTCTCTACCCACAACACAACCTAAAACATTCACTTAAACGCTCCCATGGTTTATTTTAAGCACTGCTCAACGTTTAAATTGGTCTCCTGTTTTTCTGCTGATACATGACTTTTTCCTGGGGCAGCAAAACTGAAACATTGTGTCCATAACACTCCTCTCCAGTGCTCTGTAATCAATCATTTTGGTTTAGTAACGATTTCAGATTTTTCATTTTTCTTGTCTTGGCAAAGCTTTTTGAGCTGCAGTTCATTACATCAGTATTTAGTAGATCTGTAGTGCCTCCTGTGAAATAATAAGATTTAATGAGGCATTGAAGTCAGCAACAGGGTGAGTAATGGGTAGGAAAAGATTAGGCGTGGCCTTTGAATAATCAATACATCTTTGTTAACTTATTTGCTTTATTTTCTGTGCCTGAAAGGTTCAAAAAATGTTTTGTCTGTTACATTCCTCATCATTGGTCTGTTGACCACAGTTAATGATATAGTTCTTATTCCAGGCATTTTTGACAGTTGCCCTCTCTCCATAAGTATTTTGAGGATAAAAAGATCAAATTCAATATTTTCAAGGGTGCTGGCAAATTCAACCCATTTGACTGCTACAGCACCGCCAGTGAAACTGGAACCAGAGGTCAGAAGTGGAAAGTACAGGCAAGTGCATTTAGAACTGAGATAAGGAACAGCTTGTTAACTTGTTAAAGGCAGTGTGAAACCTGGAACAACATATTCATCCATTTTGTCAAAGCTTACACCCTGGCTTCCTTAAGGAAGAGATCCTAGGATCACTTAGCTCCTGCCAACCAAATCAGGTAGATGGGCCAAATGGAAGTCTCTGTTTTATCCCATCTTTTTGATGATCTATCATCCTGGTTTCTTTGATAAGGAGGGACTTGATGTTGAGCTGCAATCAGTAGGAAGCTTTGATTCTCGACAGGAAACATTTATCCTTGGAATTATAGTTCATTTCCTCTATTTAGCACTTTTGTCCCATAGTTACCATTTCATTCTGTATCTGTTGACAGAAGTCTGTACATAATTATGCTAAACATGGGTTTGTCTTCACATTACATTCATTTGTTTCTGTGAAGTGGAGTTGTGTGTATACATTCTATCTTCTTCCATCAAACCATAGTAACATAAATGGCATATAATCCTCCTTTGTTTTCTGTTTAGAAGATACTGGTGATTAACAGCTCACCCAATAAGGATTTTCACATCCTGCTCTATTCTCAGGTCAGGAACTGAAAACTGAAGCCTTTGGACTGAGGGGACTTTATAGATTGTCTTCTGAGGGGTAACAGTGTCATGGAAGTCACAGGAGGAAAAGTCGTTTGAAAGGTCTATTTTAAAAATTAAAAATAGTTCTACTGGCATTTTTTTAATTGCATCAAAAATGTTTGTATAAACAAACTATATCTTTAATTTTCCTTCCTTAGTATGATTTCAATAAGATCCACTTCATGTACTGTATACCATACATATCTATTCATTTTTCTCCCATTACACATTTTTTAAGCTTCTTTAAGCCTTCTTGGCCAAGTTATTGTTGGAAATGATAATTTGTTTTCAACCGACTCATCTGATTAAGTCAAGAATTATTATCTTCAATGGTAACGATGCAGATGTGGAAAATTGTATTTAACAATTGAAATGAGAAAATGTAAAACTGAAAAGAGGATGGTTACCCTGCTGCATGGAGCAAACCAGTAACCCACTGCAAGAAGTGGCAGGCCTAAGGCAACAACAAGCACAACGAGGCATTTGACAGCAATGGTCTGCTCCCGTAGTCCTGAGAGGTTTTCATACCAGATTGTCAGCAACTGCTGTTGGCAGTTTGGGTGAGCAACGAACTACAGAGACAAAACAAAGACACGTTAGTTCATGTGGGGAAAATTGCATATAATCTGTAGCTTCCAAACAACTGTGCCCAGCATGACAGCAAACAGATGAGGTCACTTGCATTTTGAGGAGGTTTGTGTGTGAAAATGGTCTGCTGCAATCGCGTTCACTGGACTGATCGAACCTCTTCGCCCACTGGGGCTCTAGCAAAGTCTGGGAAACGGTCTTTACTTGGCTGAAAAAAGGATTCCTTCAACAGCCGATAACAATTAAAAAAAACCAAAAAAGGTCATGGAAGGAGACAGTGGGTATAGTCCGGAAAATGGGTCAGTACAGTTTTTGGAGATGTAGATTACGTTTTATGGGACTGAACACCTCTGTTTTCACCTCTAGAGAGTAAAGTGATATTCACTTGGTGAGGGCGAGTTTAATTTCTATATTAAATCAGTAGGTTAATTAATTGCCTTTGTGGCTGAGATATAATTTCTATGAGTGTCCTACATATTTCTATTAATACAATGTAGGAAAGATTCAGAACTCAGGAAATAATCTGAATTTTTTGTGTAGCCTTGCAACTTCTAACCCTGTTTATTGTAGAGATAACCAGGGCTTGTTATTCTACTAATAACAAGGACAGTCTTTATTCTTTATTTTCTATGAGAGATGTATTATTCTACTTAAATACTGAAAGTGAAGTAGTGTTATTTGAGAAACGGATCTCCTGGGAATAGAAACTAAAAGCCTGACACTTTTTTGAAGAAATGTAAGTGAAAATGGATTTCTGTCTCCACACTTTGTCACTAATCCAACTAATTGGCCTATCTGTCTCCCCTTTATTCTGTTTCTCAGAATCTGTAAATACCCGTAGCTTGTCATCCCCAGGGATGGATAAGGGTGACTTAAAGAAACAGGCTTCAAGAAAATTAGTGGAGTGCAACATCTCATCACTTTGTCCCTTTACAGGGTATAATGTAGGCTTTTAGATAAAATCAACCAATTATCTGTGCTGGGATAACGACAGTGGGTATCAGTATTTTAAACCAGTGATAAAAGACAATTGTATCATCTTTATTTTCTTGTTGGTTTTGTTGTTATTGCATTTCTGTGTTTTGCTTGATTCTTAACTTCTTTTCCCTTCATAATTGCCATTTGCTATTCTAGCAAAAGTACTCTAAGCTAAATGACAGGAAACAAAACAAACTCTACTTGTAAGGTTCATTGTGTGACGCTAATTTGCTTCACCTGCATGCTTCCTTCCAATCAATTTCTAGTTTCTAGTCTTTTTAGAAACTGTTGTTGCTAAGATGTCGTACCAACAAGCTAGAAACAGAAGCAAACACAATATACGATTATAAGATATACATTACAAGATATAAGGGACAATAGAGAAAGATCAAATTATTTTATTATTTTTATTATAGTTCTGTTGTGTATCATTCATTCTGAAAGCCTTTTATGATATGGACAAGCTTCATTACACATGGTTAAACAGATTCTGATTACAATGTACTACCCTATCCCTTGATCTGAATCCAGAGATAGATAATTATCACATATAATTTATTCACATAAAATGTGAATCAGCAGTGCATCATTTTGAATAGGAGTTTGTAACCCAGTGTAGTTGCATGGACATTATTGATCATTTCTTACTGAAGTCACGCTGAATTGGCCTGAAGCAAGCATGCATTCACAGTTAGCCATATTGTTTAACTTATTCAACTCAAACCAATCAGGAAACACAGTTCTCAAAGAGTGCCAGACCAGGTAATTCTTAAAGTCTACGTAGCCCCATGCCCAACAGCAATGACTCTCCATTCATGGTTGGGTAATGAGGTGGGGAAACCTATCTTGTGGTGATAAACCTCCAGGGAGATAATTTACAACAGCCAATGAACTCAAGTAGCTTTGTGAAGCGAGTGGAAACTGGAGGTTCTGACCGAATTAATATGTAAACTCCACACAGGCACAAGTCTGTATCTGAGCTCCTAGGATGCAGGAGCTGTAAGGAAGTGGTCCTAACCACCCTTGTCACTGATCCACCCAGGATCAACAACAACAACCGAAGCAGCAGAACTGTTTGTAAGTGCAATTTATTTTCTACCCACAAGCAGCCACAATCTGAACCCGGTACAGAGGTTTGCAAATGGGAGATACTCTGACATTGCACAACCATCTATTTTAGAATGTGTAATGATTCATAGGGACACCTGCTGTTTTGAGATATTCTTGAGCTCCCACTGTTTAATTCAGTCCAGTAGTGCATTTCAGGCAGAGAGAGGTCAGTGGACTTGCTTCAGGCCAGAATGATCCATCACCTCTGGAAGTGGTTTTAAAGTGATTTGATGGATTTTAATCATTAGAGTGTGAAAAGTGGCTGTTACAATTAGCATATGGGAGTTACAAACATTTCCCTGTGTAATGTCTCCTAGGAATTAAGATCCTACTCTGAGAAACTAAAAGAACTGAATCTTTCTAGTGGTGAACAGGGAAGACTATGAGGCGACCTGATTCAAATCCTCTAAGGCACTGACAACCCAGTGCATATCTTTAGAATCAACAGGGGAACACAAACCAGAGAGGACAAATGGAAATTAAAAGGCAGGTCATTTACAATTGAGAACAGGTGGCAGTCTTCTACACAGCCTTTCAAGGGTTATGTGAGTATGGAAGAGACATGTTGCCAAAGGCGATACCCTGGTTTCTTTAAAGAGACAGCTGGATGAGACCCTTGGATCAATTAACTAATAACTACTGTGGCATTATGCAGGGGGTTGTTCAGTGTGGAGGCGGAGCCCTGGATTAAGGGCGACTTGTTGCCTTCGCAACCACGGCTGTTCTGGCTAATTAATGAAAAGCCACAGCTGTGGGGGCCCTTTAAGACACGCTGAACACCTTATGGAGCGACAAGCGAACCCCGGAAGGGGAGAACCATTCCAGCGACAGTGCTGGAGGGGATTGTAAGGCTGTATTTGTTTTCCGTCGTTTTCTTTTCTTTTTTTTCTCCTATCCGGCTGTGCATCTCCAATGGGGCAGGCTGACCCTTTATCACAGGTTTTTTATTTTTGTGTTTTGGCCTCGCTCTCCATGGTCTCCCAGACTGGACCCCGTTAAATAGGGTAAGTCCAGTCTGAATACCGCTCCATGCTGGACCCAGTTAAATAGGGTAAGTCCAGCCTGGATGCCGCAGTGCACAGTGGCACATTTTTCTATTTTTGTTTTGTGTTCTTTTTCGGTTTTCGCTAACCTCACACCAGTGCCTCCACCCCCTCAGATAGGGTGTAGACCTTTTACCGATGTTCTCTGCGGCTCCTCCCACTCCCACATTGTTACACTACCAAATGGGCAAGATGGCCGAATGGTTTCATCTTGATTGTAACTGTTCCTATGTTCTTATCCGTTTCTTATGGGCCAGCAGTAGTAGGAGCAATGTCTTTGAACATTTTTTCTGGCACTTTACCCCATTATTATTTTAGATTTTCATTAGTATTTACATTTGAGTGCTGCTTCGACCTCTTCGATGTTTTGTACAATTAGGAATTGGGGCCTAAGTTGTCTATGTGTGCTTGAGCATGTGTATCTGTCCTGTAAATGGCAGATGTCCAGTCTAGTGTAGTCCCGCCTTGGGGTCTGTGATGGGTTGCTGTGATTTTTACCAAGAATAGGTGACATTCTGATAAAGGATTAATGGATATTTGCATTTTTTTTGTAAATATTGCTCCATCACTTTAGGTTTCTGTTTTGTTTTTCTCTAAAAGTAAAAGAGCATAAAAAATATCTTAAGGGCTACATTGCTTTGAGATGTACATTGAAAGGCACTTTGTTTAGTAAATAGGATGATAATTGAACTACATATGAGAATATCACATTTTATTATTTCCTGGTTTGCAGTATATACAGGCCAGGTGTTATAGACATTAACTCAACGTGACTGAAGTAAACAATAAGCTTTTCTTATTCCGCTCCCTTTAAGGCAACCCAAAGGTGGTTACAATTAACTGAACCAGTTCTAAAAGCATGTGTGGGAAAAATGTAATTTTTTTTTCTTTTTAAGTCTGGCGGGTGAAGTTTCCTGTGGGGGGTTGTGGACAAGGTGCAGCAAGCAAATACCGACCTTCTTGACTTCGTACTTAATAGCCAGCTTGACTCTGCTCAGGAGAGTCCTGTGGTGCTGCCCTTCCTCCAGCTCTGCACTCACATCCCCGTTCAGTATGGCTTCGACTTCTTCAGTATCTCGGCACAAATCGAGAACACCCACCACAAAGTCCTTACATTGCATAGATAGCTTGCGATAGTCATTCTAAATGGAAAAGAAAAGCATTGGTAAAAGCTGATGACAGACAATTTCCTAATGCAGGGAAAACGCTTACATGGCAGAAAGAAGGCAAGATTAATGGCAGTGTGGATATCAAAGCAGGAGTCTATTTATATGGTAATGCTTTTTTTTAATCACTGAATTTGTTGTTCCCAGTTTAATTCTAGCGTTTCAAATCCTCTGCTAGCATGTGCGCATATATGTAGGACAATAGCAGCCTGAGTGGCTTAATTACCCAGTCTTGTAAAGCGCTTTTAACATGAATAACGTCCAAGTAGGAGACTCTGGCATGACTTTCACAGCTCCCTTAAATTTGCATCTCTTTGAAATGCAAATTGAACCCAGTAGTAAACAGAACAAACATTTGCGCTAACGACAGAAGATTAGTTAAACTGACACCTCTGAAAATTGTGAGATTCGTTGAAAAGAATTAATACATTTTACATCTAGGCACATAGACAAGTGATTAAATATATTTCACTCTTTGACTTATTAGTCTTCCTAAATGCTTGCTGTATTACTTTGTTCTTTATTTAGTATTCTATGATAGTCTTTTCTTGACAAGTATAGGGGATCATCCTGTTGGGTTTTATTTGGTCTCTATAATTTATCAAGGGCAGAAGACCCCTTATGTTGTAATTGGTAACAGGCAGCTATATTGAAAATGAAAATGATTCATGACAAGAAATTTGATTTTATGTTATTTTGTTACAGATGAAGTAACCTTTCATTATCCAGCAGCTACAGTATATCACTCTGCAACTCACAACTCGAAATCCACTGAAGCTCAGCAGGTATGAGCCTAGTCAGTGCCTGGACAGGAGACCTAAAGGGAAAAACTAAGGTTGCTGCTGGAAGAGGTGTTAGTGGTTCCAGTATGGGTGCTCACCTAGTATAGTAAGGGGGACACTATACTATAAAAAGATGTCATCCTAAGGATGAGACAAAACTGAGGTTTTGACTCTCAGTGGCCATTGGAAATTCTAGGGCATTTTCTCAAGAAAAGGTAGGGAAGTTAACCTGATGTTCTGGGTAAATTCCCCCTGGCCTTTAACTATTATGGCCTCCTAAAAATCCCCATCTACGAATTGGCTTCATTACTATGTTCGTCAGAAAAGTGCTATCTAAATGTGATTATTATTATTATTATTATTATTATTATAGTCAGGTGGGTAGCTGCGTCAGCAAGCGTGGGCTGCAAAGGAACAACTAATAAGTTTATTCCATGCTGAAAAGAGAAGAAAGAAAACAAAACGTTTCACCCGAAAAAGGCTCAACAGCCGAAACATTGCGTTTTCTTTCTTCTCTTTTCAGCATGGAATAAACCTATTACTTGTTCCTTACTATTATCATTATTATTATTATTATTATTATTATTATTATTATTATTATAACAGGTCCTTCAATTTTATTGTGTCATGCAAACATATGTGGAACTAGTTTCATTTAAGATAGACACAAATGATTAAACATGTTTTTTCTTTGCAGCGGCTGCTAGATACACACTTGTACCAAACAACTAAGTGATGGATTCAGTTTCCAGACTCCTTAGACAACCAGCATCCTTTTCCTCAATCCAGCAAGTACCTTGTCAACTTTCTCAGCTGTGGCTGGTCATTGAAATTAGAGAAAAGGGACCACAGCCCTTGCTCATAATTTATCTGTCATCTTTGAACCACTAATATATGAGATCTGACAGGGCAGAGGATTAAATCTGGCTTTATATTTGGTTGGTTTCTCTCGAGTTTGAATGCAGAAATGGAAACAAAATGCAGGGCTATTCTGTTGCAGAAGAACTGTGACGAGATTTAATGTAAGATTGCAGAAAAGTGGAATGCATGGAAAATAATCAATTGAAACAAATACCTTGATTTAAGTAATTTTACCAGAAAGGGTGGATGTTTTTCTCTTTTTATCTCTATATAACAGTGCGGTTTGGCAGTCTGCTGTGGGTTGCTGTGACCTAGTTGTAAATTTTTCAAAAGTCTCAGCATGTTTGTGAGTCATGTTCACTCTGTCATTTTATTCCTGTGGTTTCTTTTGGTATAGATTTAGATTTAGATTTAAAGATTGTTGTGGATGAACAGCGATCAGGTTTTAAAAACACTGCACCAAGGTGGAAGCTAATTATTGTAATTGACCTATTCAGTTAACAGAATAATAAAGCCATATCTGAACAATAAAGCTGACAGAACTCATATTTGTAAGCCATTTCAACAATATCCACATATACAGAAAACCTTAAAATGACAGAGAAATCACAATTTAAAATATTAAAACTCTTCATTTTCTGACACATAACAATTTTGTTTTGACATGAGGGATATTTATATATACTGTATGTATGAAGAACACCCGTATAACATTATAATAGATGTTATAAAAAAGAACATTTCTCTCTCTGAGCTTTTTGGCAACTGTATCTGTGCAAACAGAACATTGAGTAAAACCTTCAAGAATTTTGAAATACGATATAAAGGAGCAAAAACGACTTTTTATATTCTGTTTAATTTGTTGTAGTTTAATTAAAAACATTAAAAAGTCATCCAAGTCTTGTGGACTCCATTTATCAGTTTCTACTGCAGAAAAACAACTCTTGAAACAAATTTAAACAGTCACATTTACAATCCTTACGTAAATGGACTGGAAGAATGCATCCTTTTAGTGACAGAACCTTTTGATTTTTAATTAAATTGGTCTGTTTTTCTCCAGATCCTTACATGATTATTACTTTATCGATGTTATGAATAGCATCTGCTTGGTAGACATCTACAACGAAATTAATTCCAAAAAAATTCTCAACTTCAAAAAAATTATTTTTTAGTCACTAATGTTAATATTTTTTCAACTTTTTGTTTTGATATAATCTACTCATGAAACTACTGTATAATTGATCAAAAATGCCTGAAATCAAACACTTTCATGCCAATATAGATTTTTTCACAACCGTACAAACTGGTCACTTTGGTTACCTTGCAAGGGATTTTAACCCAAGGACTTTAGTATCTTTAAAAGATTAGAAGAGAAATGTCATGGGACCAATCTAAAACTAGAGAAGTCCCGTGAGAGGAGATGCATACATTCAGGTTGTGTGATTAAATCAAAGATGAGACAAAAGCTGGAAAATAGCAGGATCAAAGTAAAATGTATCTCTGACCGAGCTGCACAGATGGTTTTATTTAAGAAAATCAGTGGTATCACTGTGCATGGTAGGACTTCTTCCACAGGACTATAGACACAGGCTGGTAATTTAACGTGCTCTGCTACTTTCATTTGCTGGGTTGTAATCTCTTATTTTGCACAATACAATAGGACTGGCATATTATTAAAATTTGAAACAAAAATGAATCGGTTGCTTTTCCTCATGATTAGAAATACAGAAACATTTGAGTCTGATCTTTCTACCTTTATGAAGTCTGTGCGAACCTAACAGGACATATACTGAAATACTGTATTGAGATATCCTGTATAGTGACATACAGGGCCTACAGTACGTACAGTATCATTTTGTCTCACACAAATCATTCAAACCTATTTAAAATGTTTCCTTTTGAAATGGATGGTTAACAGCGTGCAGTTACACATTCCTGAAAGAAAACAAACACGTACAGTATGATCCTTCTGCCCAAATATCTTTCTTGAAGAAAAATATTTTGCATTAATAATGGATTAAAATTAGCTATATAGAGGGCGGTAATTAAGGTAATTAGATTTTAGACTGAATGCCTTGTCAACAACATGAGAACTAACACCGGGAGAGAAAAAAGAACCAGACACTGTGTCACAAAGAGTTAAATACCAATAATCTGAAACTTGGAAGCAGTAGGTCAAGTGCTATAAAACTGATTCAGATTTTTTCCCTGAATTTAGTGCTGCAAAACAGAAGCAAAAAAGATGTCAGCTACGAGTCCTAGGTAATACAGAGTTCTGTTCACTGTAGCTCAGGCTGATAACATCTGTGGTGTCAGAATGACTACTTTCTTGTAAGATCAGAGCCTAATATCCACAAAGCATTCTTCTTTTCTGGAATCCGTATCAGGTAGGTGAAACTAATATCAACTTAAAAAATCATGGTTAGTATGATATAGGCTTTCCTCTTTTTTTCCAGTGTATCATTTGTTTATAATTATTATTTATTATAATAAATAATAGGCTTGCAGACCAAAGCCTTGCAGACCTTGTGATGTTGGGATGCAATTTCTTTGCCAGATCTATTCCAATCCATTCAAAGTGGATCTCTTTGAATCTGTTACAGCAGGCAGGTGAAGGTTTCAGCCCTATCAAATGCAGTTTTACTAGTCAGCTCGTGTCCTTTACACACATTTCTCTTTGTAACAAGTATAGCATAGAAAACGCAGGACCTGATCTTAAAATACACTCCTATCTTAGCAATGCACAATGTGTACAAATGCAATAAAGTGAAAATGAATTAAACAAAGAAGCAGTTGATGGATACCTGTGAGTGTTTACAAAAGGACCTTATGATGCTACAAGGGGTGACTCTGGAAATAAATAGTGCCACAGGAAAACAACATGCAGACAGCATCTAAAGAAACAAAACCCATTCTCAAAGCTCAGACAAAGAAAAGCAATCAGCATGCAGATGGATTAAAAAAAATGGAAAAAAATTTAAAAGTGTCTGTTTAACAAAGATGAAAGGCAGCCCTTAGGACAACAATTTCGGGAATGTAGGAAAACATTTGTAGGAAAACATGAAAATTTTAAAGTACAATAAAAGCCACACAGCACATATCCTCCACTGCCTTCAACTTGTCCTCAAAAAACTCAGCTATTATATGACTAGACATCTGTGACGTAAAAAGACTCATAAAATGCATTTACGTGAAGCTGGAAGAAGGTCTTTCTAGAAGGAAAAAAGAGGGTATCCTTTTCTGGTAGGTGATGCATTAGCAACTGTGACATTAAACATTTCAAATGGCTGTTCATAAAGTTATATTTAAAAATATTTACCAGGGAGAAGCAATTGAGCTGCGCCGTCTCTTTTTTATGGGTGTCCTGGTGGCGACAGCACACACACACACAGTTTGCAAATACATTACAGGACATAAAACAATAAGTCATTGAAGAAACACAAGCAGAGAGAAAGGAAATCGTAAAACAGCACTGTGATCTTAGGGCTAATCAAAAACACTCTATGATCTGATCTTAAGGGGACTTCATTTTGCTGGTCATGCTCTAGAGCAAAATCTGGAACTGCTAATACTCATACTGTAGAATAAAAAGCAAATCCAGGCATGCTTATAAATTCTAAGGATGCAGGAAAATATCACACTCATGAAAATCAATTGCAAACGTACCTTGAATTCTTTTTCGATGTTGGCCAGCTTGGCTAACTCATTGCTCAGTTCTAAAGCCGTGAGAACAGGGTCTTCGCTGGACAGAGAGAGGTAGGCAGGACTTGCCAGACCTCTGTAGGCGTTTATCCTGGAGCGGGAATGGCTGAAGGAATCCTTCTTCTGCTTCTCCATGCATTCATTGCACTTGCAGAAGTAGTCGTGGGGTCTCTCGATGCGAGCTCCCTTCATGAGTAGCATGTGCACAACCTCGTACTTCTGGCAGTGGGCAGCTAGAATGATAGGGGTGATGTCAGGAGAGAACCGGGTGCCGTCTTCGTCGTAGGAGTAGAAGTCGTCATCCTGCAGCTCACAGGGGCTGCGCGTCAAACGCTCGCTGGTGACGAAGGCGGGGTGGTTCAGAATCGCTTCCACGATCCTGACGTAGCCCTTGCTGATGGCGAGCAGCAGAGCGTCCCCAATGCGCGCCAGGTTGTCTCTCTTGAGCAGCAGCTCCGTCACCTCCAAGTGCTCGTTCCCCACGGCGAGCTGCAGGCCATTCTGGCCCATGTAGTCGACGCAGTTGACATTCAGCGTGCTGGATTCCTCGAGCATCTTGCGCACCACGGGGATGTTGCCATACTCCGCGGCGTCGAGAAACCGCTCCTCCTCCGTGGTCAGGCTGGTCCCCCTGTTGTTGAACATGAACGCGGGGCCGCGGACAGCTTGCCGTCTCCCCTTCTCCCTCATCATCGTGAGCCTCCTCAGCGTCGGGTTGTCGCCGGCTGGCCTGTGGGGGACAATGCAGAGCGGACAAGTGAACAGACATTCGCTGGTGGCCATTCTAGATGTTCCGATAAGAACAAGAAATGGGAGCAAGTCTGTGCATCCAAAAAATAGACAAAAGATAGCTTCACACAAAGAAAAAGTAATATTTTGTACAAGACACCTGGATTCACAAAGTAAACTTTTACAGACATACTGCTGGAACATAGTATGCATATGACATTTAGAATAATAAACACTATTGTTTAGGTCTTTTCTGTTGTTATTGTATAATGGGATGGCTAATCATACAACAAAAGTCAAAAACCCTTTTATTGTCTTTAGAAATATCTGAATAAATAGAGGTAGGCCTGCATATTATCTGCTTCTTTGCCCACAATCTGTTGAGGGTTGAGTAAATGTGACAAATACGCATCTATCAGATCCTAAAGAGCAGGTTAATGCACCATTTTGGGAGTTCTAAAACATTCCACAATGTGAATTGTTCGTGAAACTTCTCCTCCACTGTTCCACAGTACTAGGAAGGTGACCTTCTTTTTGAGCTGCTTTCATTTTAGAAACTTGCAATCTCTTTGTACTTGGAAGATGATTCGACAGACATCAAACTGCACAAAATACAGCAGAAGACTTTATATACATTAGTGGTTTGAGACCTAGAACATCTACACTATGATATAATTCTGATACTATGTAAAATCAATAACCCAAACGTGAGGTCTATACGTTTTTTGATTTTACTTTAGAAGACCGCACTCACGCATTTGTATTTCACCATCTTCCTATTTAGAATTCATAGGAAAATTCTTCCATTTTAGTCAGGAGCACCAGTAAACACTGAGAAATGCAATTTACTCTGTATTTAGACTTTGCAGTTTATTACTGATTCCTAATTAAATGACACCATGAACATCTAATTTCACTCATCATTATGAACTTATACCTGAAATGAGATTAAGAAAAATTGGAGGTTAGTTCGTAAAAAGTAGTTTAGGTCATCAGTAAACTCTACACCAGTATTTATCAATCTTTATACCATCCATGTATTCTTGTTCATTATTTAATAGACAGAAAATAAATAAATAAATAGTAACCAAATGGCATAAAATCACCAGAAAATACTGCAGTGAACCTAGTGTAACTGGTGCAAATCATAGCTTTTCTTTTTAACCCATTGTGAGAACTGAGTTGGATTTATAATAGTATTACAATGGTATTTTAAAAATATTTAAATATTTTCTTTATCCTGGCCTTCAACTGGCCAGCTTAGCATATGGTTCAAATGGTCTCAACTCAAAACACAACTGTCAAAATGATTACGAACTTAAGTGAAATACCTACCATTTTGTAAAATAAGTGTCATATGTCAACTTCCAATAAACAAATCAAATTAGGTTTTCACTGCAAACTGTGCATATGAAAAGTATGTGCAGATTAAAGCCTTCTTAAAGCTATCCATATTATGTCCCTCCTTTGTGGACAGATTCCGTGCCTTTGAAAAAGGTCAGGAGCTATTATTTCTCCTCGGTATAAAAACAAAAAAAGTGTTACTCTCAGGTCATTCTATGAGAATGTTTATTTTAAAGAAGCCCTGGGTCATATTTCTTCCATGGATATGAAACAAATATGAAATTTACTCAGGGAGTATCAAGACCCGACAAGATCCACACGGATTCATGGTTGAGCTGAAGAGAAATCGGAAATCGGAAAAACTCAGACGAGAGCAGCATTGATTTACACATTTTTACTAAATGAGAAGGCACCTTCATCTGACGGAGAAGTGCAATAATATTATTTAATTCAGATTATTTAATATCATTGCACCTGTCCATTTGATGCAACACTATTACTTAAAATTAAGCATAATGAATTTAAAAAATAGGAATGATATTAACCTATTATTAGGAATGCTATTAAAATTCTACTTCCAATTTTTACTCAGCAGCTTTTCAGATTCCCCCTAATTTTATTTTTAGGAGGATCTTTATAGGGAGTACAATTTAAAAATGCCCCACAACCCTTCCACCAAAGAATTATGTTACACTTTGTAAACTAAAAGGATGTGTCACCCTCGTTCAATATTTCCTGTTCTACTTAATGTCAAGTGTCTTTAATTTGCCTCACTAATTAACTAATTCCAGCAAAAATGGACATATTGTGTGTGAGGCATTGAGATGGATGTTATGTTGGAGCCATTTCAACTTTACTAATGGGTTTCAGAGCACTGCCTCGTATTGATAAACTTCCTTCCTGTCATCTTTGACTTCTCCTTCCATTAACTGTTTTATCTGGCAGTAGGAGATGAAGACGAAAGGTAATCCATGCATTTACATTAATACATTTCTGAAGTTGAGTGAAACTAACATAAACATCTTATTATGTTGCGTTCCACTAGGGATTAACTGAAAAATCTCTGTCACTCTATAAAAAGTTAACCCTTTAGATCTCCAATAAATGGGGCAGGCACAAATTCTGTTTGCCAAATTGAAGTCAGTTTTGATACATATATTGATAATGTCAAAGGAAAAAGGAGCTAGAAGTCAAATATTTCTTGCTACAGTCATGACAATTCTGATTTTGTTTTTTGGTATTAAGTCAAATACTGTACTTATTAGGTATAGTTTTGATGATAATACATGCTAATGAGCTAAATATACAGTATTGAAATGTTTGTGAAAGAACATTACAGTGAGAATGTGCATGGTATTCTATATTGTTTTAGATTTTTAAGCTGCTTAGGTTCTGCAACATTAAATAATGTTCATAATACAGACTTTACCTGATGTTAAACATTTAAATGCTGTGGTTTGCATTTCATGTTTATTATTCAATGTAATTTATTTAATGGAAATGTATAAAATGTTGATATTGTTTAGTTTCACTATTGGAGGCTAGGGCTTAAAAGGAACATAGTGCTTAGTAATGGTTTCATCAGCTCAGCTTCTGACCTTTAATGACAGGAAGCACAGTGAGGGATTAATGAGTGTCAGATCAAAAGGTTGGTTTTGACCCCCAAAGAAAAAGAGAACAGATCAATAAGCAGTTATCACATTGAAATCTATTTTCACTAGTCACTCTAGTTGGATTTTCAAACTTGATATCAACAAGGATTACTCATCCATATTTTTTGAAAGCTTCAGGTAAAGAGAATGAACAAGATGTATCTTGGGCTCTAGAGACCAAAGCTAATATAAAAAAAACTTATGACAACTGTGTTTAATCTCATTGGTACTCTGTTAATGATTTCCTGAACTGCCAGCTTCCAGGTCTTTAATATGTCCGTTCCTCATCTTAACCTAATTAATGAGAACTGCTGCTGTTTAATTTCTGTATTGAGGGAAAAGAAAGCAAGACAAATCTAACCTTAAAACTGCAGAGCAAAGTACACAGACAATCTGCTCATTTCTTATGTGTGTGTAATTCACACAGCAGCAATACACAACAGTCTCTGTGATGGCTGATTTATCTTTCCTCTGTTTATTTTACTTACCAAATTGCTTTGGGCATATATCATATCTGTGTAGAAACAAAACATGTCCACAAAGATAATAGTCCCTGACAAACATAAGAAAGGTTACAAATGAGCAGAGAATATTTGGCTGATTTGTTTGGCAATTAGTAGCTAATTGATCCAAGGACCTCATGCAGTTGTTTCTTAAAAGAAGCCAGGAAATGGACTTTAATAACATGGCCAGTTAACTTGTTTTTTAAACAAAAGGTAACCAGATCATGATCTTAAAGTGCTAACAATATTTACATTTGGTCTACTTTCACCCTTTGTAGAATTTAATTAGGGCATACTGTATATACCTGTGTCTGAATGTATGTGAAACAGTTCTGATTTTGAGCTGTGTTCTTTTTTTTATTAAGTGTAAAAAAGGAGGATTTTCTCATTGCATCCTACTGACTAGCTTGTGAAGATTTTACTTCACACACACCAGCCTCCACACACCCACTCTGTTCTTGGACAATAATATCACCAAACAGTGCAATAATGCAAGGAAAGCAACTGCCAGAGACCAGTGAAAGGGTGTCTGCCTTCAGCTGCCCCTGTCGTCAACTCTATAGCCTTGCTCCCTCCACCTGTACCTCTGAAGAACGAATATGACCTTAATTGAAATGACTGAGAAAATGACACACTCTGCTGATGTTATTGAAATTACCCCTGAAACAGACCATATGCCTTCATAATTAGAGAGCAAAAAATACGAGTCAAAGAACAGTGTGATTCCCTTTTCCCCAGGGCTTGAAATTGCAAGTGCTCAGTTTGATTAGAATGAGCAAAAAAAACCCTTGTAGAAATAACAAATTGCCTAAAGTAAAATAAAAAATATATCATAGGCAACCAGGAGGAATTACTTTTCATCAAACCTCCACTCTGCAGCAGTCACGGCTTCAAATCTTCATATCTCACATTAGCTGTAGTCCTAATTCCAATGACATTTTACGTTGTTGCATTTCAAATTGCATTTTTCTTTTTTGGGAATTACAACAAAACTTCCCAAATTGCCAGTGCAATGTAAAACACAACAAGGAATTTCAAATTGTTAGGGCTGTTAAAGTGTATCCTAGTGCAGAGGTCAAATGTCAAAGTCTTCATTGAAGAGGTTTCAGAAGGGAGCTATATCAGCTTGTGTTGGTTGCAAAGGAACAAGCAAAGACAAATTCAGTGTCAAACAGTCAAAGAAAGAAACACAGTCTTTTTCAGGTGTCAACGGTTCAAATGTTGTGTTTCTTCTTTCTGCTGCTCAGCATGGAATTAAGGTTTTTATTTATCACACTCCAGGTAAAATTAGTGTGAACAATTGATCTCTAATCAACGGATGGTTCTTGTTTTATTGACAACAAAATGGAATTAGATTTGATCTGTCTAAAAAAAGGCTTCTGAAGACCAGCTACTGTAGGACATCCTGGCGTGATGAAAGTGATTTAATGAAACTTCTCTTGGTGAACTGTGTTATGTAATTAGAATGACAATTTCTCTGATATGCCAAAGGTTTGGATTTGTAATGAAATAAAAGTCTGCAATTAATATTTTTCCATCTTTTGAGAATATTCCTTTCATGGATTCAAGACTTTCACAATCCAAACGTCAAACATATTGTCACCATTATAATTTAAAAAGCAAAAAACCGCCCGTTATTGGAAACGTGCCTAAATCTTAACAACCATCATTTTAAAAAAAGCATTATATTAAAAAAAACATTATGTAGTAAAATATGAACAACCAAAATATCATGATGTATGAAACTTTCTGATCCATTTTAATCCTGTGTTTAATAACTTGTATAGTTAACAGCACAACATTATCAAAGTAATACCACACACTATTCCAACTAACATTAGATCACATTTATCATATAATGTGGTGTCATACAGTTTAAGTTGGAAAATAAACAGAATTAGCTCATCTGAATTATAGCAGACATATCGTAACATCAGGTTTGTCAGTCTTAAATTTAAAAATGTCTTGAATTCTTAAGATAAAATAAGAAACACTGAACATTGGTAGTATTTCATTGTACAACCTTAATGAGCACAAGACTAATAAATAAGACAAAAAGACTTGCTTAAATATAATTATCTGTTTTCCATATATATATAGTTATTTTTTTACATTTTAGATACCAAGGAACTCAAGGAACAGAAGTGTAATGTGTCAAAGCGCATTTTCCTTTTTCTCAGCTTTGCCAGCTATAGAAAGAAACAAGCTGAAGAATGAACTGTAAGTTGTCTTCACCACTTTACATCAACAGGTAAATAAAAGATAAATACATATGCTGATTAAATACTTCCTACTGGCTACTGGCTGGCTTTTTAAGACAATATCCCCTTCAGTTTGGAAATAAAAACACATTACTCTTCCCATGGAGTAGCCATGAAGCCAAAACAGAATTAAATAGAATTTTCATAATGACAGTAATAATATTTAGTATGTGTGACTAGAATGTGACACTTCCCTGGCATTATGTCATGTTTATTTTGAAAAACAAGACATATAATGTGCATACACAGTAGAATACTATATTATAAATCACCCATTCGGCTTTCCTTATAGAATACCTTGATGTATGTTCTAATAAACATGGCTGTGTTACTAATGGTTAAATTAATCAAACTACCAATTTATTTTTTTAACTAAAGCTTACAGCGTTTTTTCTGACTGCACTTTTTAATTAGGACTTTCAGTCCACGTCAAATGGACATAGAAGGACAATGTTGCAGTAACCAGGGGTTTTCAAACGCTAATGACGTAGTGTCTTCTACTTTGTGTATCTACAGTTACGAAAAGCTCATTAATAACATTGGGTTATTTTATTAATACGGGCAAGATTTATGACTTCATAATTGCTTGTAGTAAAGCAGGAGAGAAAGGAGGGCCATTTTCTGTTTGAGTTATCCTTTCAGGCACACTGATTACACAAAATCCACGTCTTACGCAGGGATCATCTTAAACATATTTCCGGAAAATAAAATCTCATTGGAGTTGCGTTGTTATAAAGCGCAACAAATTACACAGGGCCACTGAACTGCCGCGGCAGGTATTACTTTTTCAAATCATATTTTGTGAATCGCATTTGTGTGTGAATCTCCTATTTAGTTACAAAAAAAAAATAAAGAACAAAAAATGAAAAAAATAATAAAATAAAACTCTTTTAAAGAACATTTAAAATTGTGAAAATGAGTTCCACTCGGTGGCGCTAAACTGCTGAATAAATGTGAGAAATATAACCATTTCAAGTTTTTTTTACACTTGTAGCTAACCATTGGTGTACTGCGTGGTTTATGAACAATTGAAAATATCAATAAGATGTTGTTTTTTGTCTAGCAAAATAAATAAATCAGGCATTTACTTTCATCGATTACAATCGACTCAAAAGTGGACTTCGACTTAATTTTCTTTTTCCGCAGCGATATATGAGAAAAATAACTTTCACATAATTTTCTAAATATTATGTGTGCACTTTACTTGATTTCAGTTTTATAAATAAATAACGCATTACATCATTACTATCAACAACAGTAACATTAATTATAATAACAACAACAACCATAATAATAAAAAATAGTGCACTACTCACATTGTGCAATGGTAATACCCAGATGAATCTCTGACAGTTTTAACCGATTTTAAGTAATGTGCATCCAAACCCCCGTTTTCCTCTTTCCAGTCTTGTTCATTGTCCTCTTCAGAAAAAGACACACGTTTCTGATACTTTCTGCCTTTCGCTGACATACAGGCAGCTGCTGTTTCTTTCTCAATATATATCAAGGTGTAAATTATGTACGCCTTTCTGAGCTCTGACAACTGGCTAAACGCGATCTTCCCGCTGGTACTGATCTCCCGTCTTGTGCTGCTGATGCTCACAGCTCAGTAGTTTGAACAAGTGAACCGCGTGAGATCAAATGACCAGCCCAGCCCATCCTAGTTAAATGTAGGATTTCATCGTCAACATCATCATCATCATCATCATCTATGAGCCAGTGACTGAACCATCAGAGGATCGATGTCATAGCAAATATGAATGAGACGGTATGACATTGTTTGTAAACCCATCATACTAACGATGGATGGGGAAACTTGATTTGCATACTGTATTTTGAAGTTGACAAATATCCTATTCTCTCTTGCGTTGATTCATGGTATTCCTTGTAGTTTTCGGTACACATGTTCCGTAAACTTGGTGTAAAATTGAAGCATGATGTATTAATCAAAAATAATCATGTAAGTATTCCTGTTTTCCTCCCATGAAGTATCCCTGCAGACGTGGAGCTATGGCACAAGTCCAAATTAATTCCTGTCAAAACTGGGAGCGATGGGAGAGAGAGAGAGAAGGAATTGATTGGTTTACCCCTCTGGGGAGGCCAAGCCCTGACACTGTGTTATTTCTTCATTTCACTGAAGTAGTGTTGTGTAGTTGATATTTTATAGAGAAAACAGGTTCTTTGTTATCTCTTTTGGCAAGCATGACGAGTTATGCACAGCCTATTCTTTGGTTTAGTTTTTCAATTACCCATTCTTGTTGTTTAAAGCCTCTATCTTCCATTTGTTAAAGAACCAACTGAAAGAGATCCTTGGATCACTTACTGTACCTTCTACCAACTAAACAGGCTGGAACAGTTAGATAGGCTCCGCCTGATTGTAACATTCCTTATGTTCCTATGTCACAATTTATCAAACCTACAGGTAATATACAGCCCAGTATATTTACAGTATAAGACACAATGCATTTTGAAGATGAGAATAATAGGCAAAACTTGCTGTCCTCATAGTCCAAGACTAGGTTTTGAGCGGTTTTCCTAAAGATGGACCAAAGCTAAAAGGAGGACTAAAGGTCTGTCTCAGTCTAGCCCTGGTATACACCATCTGTTCAAGAACAATATTGCACCCCACAGATGGAAGGCACCTCAGCTAACGTAGGGAAGACTACTGCAGTTCTGCACAGCTTGTTCACATTGATGCCTGACCTATTTTACTGATCATTTGAGCTATTTGTATTTTTCCAAATTCATTAACCTAATTGAGTTAGAAACTGGGCAATGATCCATGGGTTCTGCACTCAAAGAGCTAGGAATTCTGGAACCCAAAAGGATGCTCCAGGAATCCTCAGCATTTGTGATGATAGGGCCTGCTGCCATATCACCTCAAAGCTGTGTTCCAGGATCCGGAGATCTGGGAGTGCAGCTCAGCTCTCGAGCCTATGGCAAACCTGTGGGCACAAGCAACGACAATTCTGATGCCACCCGTCAGTGATGACTTTACAGTACAGCGCTGTTTATGCACATATTGGTAATGGTATAATAGTATCATCATTTTAATCACTATCCAAAAACACCTGTCCAGGTCCATGATAATTATGCTAGAAGGTGAGGGTCACCACAAATTAATCGTGCTCTAGCCTGCTCAGTCATATTTTCATAGGTGAGAAACAAATTATGACAAATATCCCAAAATAAAGAATCAATCAACCATTGTATCATATCTATATTGTACTACACTGTAAAGATGTAATATATGCTAAATGTTATCCCCTGAGTGCCACTGAGATATATCTCTGGGATTTTCTGCCAGAATCTCCTATCAGTGGGTGTGAAGCCTAATCAAACCTGAATCAATATGCAGTGGCTGTGTTTGGAATTAAGTCTGTTCTGTGTTAGATTACTGAGATGGTACTACACTTGCAGGTTATGATTTTTGCTGTCTGGAAATGACAATCTTCTGCAAAGTAAAATAAAATCTCCAAGAAAGACAGCTACCACAGGAGGTAAAATATCAGACAAACAGAGAACATTTTTTTTCCCCAAATATACGGATGGCAACTACTATACAGTGGCTATCCAATCAATTCCACCGCGCTCATACAAGTATGAAGTGCCTATTTCTTTCTGTATTGGATGCTAGAACTAATATTTTTTTAATGCTAACTTCAGTGCGCACACCTCATACTATAATACAGAAGCCAATAAAATTCTTCATGCATTCTTGCTGACCTGAGTTAAAACCACATGAGCCTTTAAATGCAGCATCTGTCTACAGCAGTAGATTTGGTCTAGGATTCACACTGTGCTTCATTGATATGCATATCTCCATGATGAGGGCTGTAAAATAGGCAATCAATGAGGTCAGATGAAATCCACAAACAATAGGCCATTCAGTAGATCAGAATTGTAATAAGTCTATCTTAGAATAGTATATATTAAATTAACCCATAAAGCATGACTTTAAAGTCTCCTTTTTTCAGTCTTAAAACATCCATAAATTTAACTTCCATTCATGTCCCCAGGTAGGTCTTTGTGTTACTGCTAATTTTGAAGCAGTCCACTGAGTTGACGTAAACATAATTTTTCTTAATTTTGAATACCTAGTTTTAAGTAGTCTTCTCTTCTCCAGGATAAAAAGATTCAATTTACTTACTCTGTCCTTGACCTTCCCTTAAGGACATTAATAAGTCTCTTTCTCTCCTTAGTACTGCCACTAAAGCAGCAATGTCTTCTTTGAGACATTGTAAATGAAATGGAACTCACTCTTCCAAGTGAGGTCTAATACACTGAATAATATGAAGATGCCTTGCTTTGATTTTATTGGCATTTGTACTGTGCATATTTGTACAGCCATCGTATATGTGAAATTCACATACTATGGTTGTTTCCTGCATGCATCACAGTGCATTTTCTTACATATCACCTATTACCCTCATTTATGTGGAAGCTTTTGACTAATCTATACTTCAAGGATAATCTGGAAGGATTTTGTACTGGTTTTCTTTCCTCTGGGAGTATGGAACTAGCTACCCAGCCACTAACTCCAAAATGGCCTTGTAACGAACAGTTCTTTCCAGACCCTATGCGGACGACATGATCCGGGGTGGAGTGAGGAAAAAAGCCGCCATGCAGGAATCGGGAATGAATACAGGGGGGCGTGTCCAAAGTGCGCAGGTGTCCAGGGGGGTGAGTCCAGGGCAAACAATCCAGAAACGGGCAAAGTCCAAAGCCGGGCGGTCCATCTGAGAACAGACAGGTTAAAAACAGGAACCGGGTCAGAACCGGCAGGGGGAAGGGGAACAGGAACAGAAACTTAAAAGCATAACGGAGCCAGACGATTACAGGTCCCGAGCTCGCACGATATGGGAATCAATGCAGAGCCCCGAATAAAGTGAGTGTCTGGCTTTTAAGGAGGATAGGAAGGAAGCTAGAACAGGGGGCAGGTGCACAAAATCAGGTCCGAAGTGAAAGAGCCGGAGTGCCCTTAAGGAGAAGGGACTACAATCGTGACAGGCCTGCTCTTGTTTGTAACTATTCTCAAGTTCTTGAAGTTGAAGAATCGAGAAGGAAAAGAATTTCAGAGATACACAAGTCTGAAAACGTGCATAAAGTGAGGGTATTGTTTGACATCACTGTGCTGCCCCATCCCCTGACCCAGGCATCCTCACAGACTCATTCACAAGTATGAATTGTGCGCAGTATGGAAAGTACAGAATTAAAGCAGAAAACAATACAGGATGTTTTACCAAGATGTGTATTGTGATAAACATGAGTATGTGGGTTCATTTTTTCTGTTATTTGAAAGAAGCATAAAAAGTAACTAAACTCTAGGTTCCTATTTGTTCCCTTTTGAGAGGAGAACATTCTGAGAGGAAACTAGCGCATGCTTCTGCTTGATTTTTCATTCTTCATAAAGACACTGTGAAATTATAAAGCATTTTGTACTCTAACGGTGAAAGGAGTAGGTGGGATGACTCACATCCAATCATTAAGAACAGACCTTGCAACAACCTCAAGGTAACAGCCAGTGCTAAAGTCAAATTGTATAGGAGCGTATTGTATATGACTTTTTAATATTTCTTTTCTGGCATTAACACATGAATTATGGGATTGTCTTTCGGAATTATTGATGAACTTGAATAACTATAAAATATTTTAAAAAATAATCATCATTCTTTGTAATTATAATACTGTAAGATTAATAATTTGTTTTATTTTCTGTACTATTACACATAGAGTATGTATAAGATTTATTGTATGTGAGTTATGTATACAGTATGTGTGTATGCATGATTGAAAATCACATTCACATCTTATTCCGTTCCATACTAGATATTATCCAGGCTTTTGATAACACAATAGGTTTATTGCATGCTGAAAAAAAGAAGAAAGAAAACACAAGGTTTCGGCCGTGGAGCCTTCTTCAGGTGTGTCAGGTGTGTTATTTTGATAACACAATGTTTTTTAAAACAGTCTTTGTTAGACATGATCATTCAAAGTAAACTACAGACTTGTATGTAAAGAGAAACTAAGGCACTGGTCTTAATGAAAGGTTTTATGAGCTGTGAAAAGGATGCCTTGATGGAAGTAGTATACCTACATTGGTGTAAACCTCTCTGGCACAATTAATATTGGGAAAACACACGAGCTGTCCCATGCCTCTGCTTTTCTGGCGACAGTTTTGTTTTTCTTTTTTCACACGTCCATGGATATACACAAAGTCAACACAAGGAAACAGGGTTACATTTCGAAACAGCAGGTCTATTTAGTTGTTTTTATAATGATGCATCTGAACAGCAATGGCGTCGCCCCTATCCCCTCTTCCCCTCTTTGCTCTTTGAACATCGACTTTCCGGCACAAACCTGCTATTCGTTTCACTATCTCCTGAATATACCCTTTCCTCACTATCCGCACTCCAAGGTCCTGTCGCAGTCCTTTTCTAAATCTCTTTCCTGGGAGGTGGAGGCCTGTCTGCCTCATGCTCTTTTTCAACTGTGCTGCTTACTTTCCATTATCTGAAGATCCTGTCGGACGGAATTCATGTGCTTTGGCTTCCTGTACAGAGCCCAGTTTTAGACCCTTGTCATGGCTTCCTGTTCTGTTCACTGGCTGGCTCCTTCATCCCATACTTTTCTTGGCTCTTGTCTACACTACTGGTTCCTCCACTGTAGGCAGACCGGATACCCGTCTGCTCACTCCAGGATCTGCTGAGCTCACTCCTGCTCCTCCTCTGCTCCCCTGCAGCGGACCAGCTACCCATAACCACTGCCCATCCTTTCCTCCTCACAGCTCAGATGTTCAAAATATAGAGGGAATTCTAACATTTTTCTGTATTTTTTTTAAATATAAATTCTGAGCACTCTCTTATGTTCCCTTTACTGTATTTCTCCATTGGCTTCTACACTATTCACTCTCTTTTTCTGGAAATTAATGCCCTTTATGGACACAGTATATTTGATTGCTCTGTAGTCCATTTATATTCCTTATTTAATTCACAGTATTTTACTAATGGAGGCCTCCATACAAAGTCTAACACATCTTAATAGTGTTAGACTAATTAATTAATAAATCAGTAAATCAATAATGTAGCATGGGAGGCTTTACCTTGTGTTCACATTTCTCTCACATACAGTAAGGTTCATAGTACATAATCCAAACACCTCATAACTCATAAGTGTAATTTTCTGCTTCGGTGCTGCTCTCTCAACTAAGGAGAAAACGATCATTTGTATTAAAGTAGTCCTGAAAGTTTGAAGTAACTGTTTCAATTGTTGAAAAACGACATGATAAAGGTCTCTTTGGGAGATGGATATGCCTTTCGAATACTGCTCATTTCTTTTCCCTGATTGCCAACTGCCTACTGCATTTAAACCTTGCTGACCCCAGAATACAGTGTAAAATTGATCCAAATCAGACAAAGTCTATCCAAATCACACAACTGGCTATCTTCTTTTCTGCAAGTTGTAGCGTCCAGCTGGCTGGGTTAAGAGATATTTTAAATGATCACGCACTGAAAGTTAATTCTTCAATATAATGGTAAAAACCAGTTTATTTCAAGCATACCTTACCTTGACTACAATTAAAATAGTAGTGATCTGGTTAGCTACCTGGACTGGATAATGTAAGGCCCCAGCTTGCTGAACACAAACAATTAAAAATTAATTCAGCTGTTTCACATAAACAGACCAAAATTTATTTTTAAAGTAATAGTGAAAATTAATTTAATAAAGTTTTAATGTTTTGCAAGTACAATGTGTCGGTGTCTTTTGCTACAAATGTAAAACTGCCCCCAAAATAATGGTATATTAAGAACTGACAGTGAGGATAAATTCTATTAAACTCGATTTTTATTGTTAATATAGACAAAGGTCCAGATGACATCAAAATCGCTAGGTCCAGATGACATCCACTGCTAATCATAAACATTTAACAAAAGAATATTATTATTTTTGGCCAGAAACTTGTCACTACCACTAACATCAAGTCCTAGGTTTATAAGCTGTAACAGGCAGGGTTGATAGATTTAACTCCAGCCCCTGCTTTCCTGATTGGAAGCTGTACATACTGGAACTTCTTAAGCAGAGAGATAAACAGAGTAACACTTTCCACTTTCTATGCTTTTGTCTTTGGCATTTTTTTTCCAGATTTATGTCAATTTACAAAACAAAATAGGAAAAAAATACAAATTCAAAGATTACAGTTGCAATTTAAAGACCGATTCTTGGAAGTGAGTAGAGGATATTATATTTATTAATATATTGCACAGTGTCAGAATAGAAACGGTTTCAGACCCTTTAAGTTCGTGATTTCTTTGGTCTTTGTCTCTTGCCAACTTTTACCAACCTTTAACATTTTCTAATCTTACAAAACTAGGACCCAAAAAGTGCAGTAATTTCACTTAAGGGATATTTTAGGCTTTGTCTCCTTTTATTATTATAATTATCGGTGCATTTCAGATTAGTTTACTTTCACACAACATATTTGTTGTTTATGATAATAACTGTATTCAATTTTTCATTACAACAGAGATAGCATGTATTTGTCTGTATTATGTCTCTAAACCACACATTTTTAGCTGACTGCGATTCCCAAGCAACAGCATACTGGCGGAATATTGCTTGTGTAGGCTGGGCATGGATAAGCAAGGGTAATCTTGGTATAACAGCACTATCTTGTTTTGTGGTACAATTGCAGCCTTCCAGTGACATCGGTGAGAAATGCACTGCTCCTTCGGTTGGTGCTAACTCTCTCATGAAGAGCTTGTACCTTGTTCAAAGTTGAATAGCACATACTGTATAGAAGCAGTGCATCAGACCCTCATTTTCCCTGTGCAGGTGTAGATCAAGAAATGTTACCAGAAGGTTAAATTATTATAACAATTGGCAATTCCAAAAAGGGTGGACATACAGTATATATAAATCAATTGTGCATAGTGGTGTGGCAGTTAGCACTGCTGTCTTACAATTCTTAGGTCATGGGTTGGATTTCAGCTTGGTCTTTTTATGTTTTCTCCAGGTGCTCTGGTTCCCTCTCACACCTGTTTTTGTAAATTGGCATTTCAGAGGTGTTCACTGTGTACGTCAGAGTACCCCTGGAGTATCCTGCCTTGATCCCATTGTCCAGGTTAGAATCCAGCTCACTGCCATGTTGGAATAGATAAAGTGGTTATTAAATTGGATGAATGGCGAGTATATATGTTTATCTCTCTATACGGAAAATGCATTGTACAATGTTAATGTTTTTGGAATTAAAGTAAAGGAATGGCAATAGTAGGATTTTTCCTTTTGTGTTTCTTACTGTTCCTTTGTATAGTATTTATTACAGTATATGAAATATAGGGACTGAGTACAGGTGAAGAATCACATTAATCTAGGAAATTATAATGAAGTTAAGATGTGCATAATTGACTATAAAATAAGACAAAACAAATCTTACCTGGAAAATCCATGTCTGATGTTTTGTTCTAAAAAAAACAGGAAGAATTTGTTGACCATACCCAGTGAATAGCTCTGATTAGTGCTCTATTAATTATTGAATATAATATATGCTTAATTAACGGGTGCATTTAGATTTCTAAACAAACAATTGTCTGAATTTATATTTCTATGCCCCTTCTATTTTCTATATCACTATACAATATATTAAAGAACAGTAAAATTCAAAGAAAACAGCGAATAGCAAAGTGTGACATAGTAAAAACAACGAGAACCTTTATAACCAACAAAATGAATATAATAAAGGGTGCAAAATTGATACATTTTGGTGAAATACACAGCAGAAATTACTCTGGCAATCTTTATAAAGACAAGCATAAACAATTTTCAGGGTATTTTGAGAGGGCATCTGTTGAGAAAAAAAGCTGTTTTCTTGTTAAGAATAGAAAGTAATTTGTCCTATGTGTTTCATCATTTTCTGTAGCTGCATAAAATCAGGCAGTGAATAGAAAGCCATAGAGCAGTCTCCATTAGCCTAAGGCATACTAGATTTCAGTCTTTGTCAATACGTGCTGTAGAGACCTTTTATAACAAATACAGTAGAGGACTCCACAATATAATCATATTAACATGTCAAAAATGTAAAGACTCAAAGTCCTGAGCATGACTTATAATACTGCATGAGCACAACTTTTTATTTTGCAGATGCAGCATCATATCGTATATAGTATGTAAGCCTTGCTGTCACCACTGTAGGACATGTGCTTATTCATCTCATGTCCCCCCTCAAAAAAAAAAACACACGCTCACAAGATAACAGACCTGCTTTTGACACCTGGGAGTGAAGGCAAGAGTCTTTGCTCTACCGCTGGATGGAACAGCGATCAGCCAGTGAGACCAAACGAAAGTAGGTCCTATTCTTTCAAATTAAAACACGATACTCACTGCAGACTGGAAAGTTAAATTTGCTGCCTAACTGGAAGCCTCTGATTGACTGTCCACTTTCTGAGACCGTTAACTCCTGTGACTGGAAGTCTAGCAATAATAAGTGAAGGAGAAATGAAGAGGAGGGAAGGGGTTGTGGGGAGGATAGAACACTAAGGCAAGTCAATGTCTTGTGCATCCTTAGGTTTAGTTATTGAAGAGACACCATCACCACAGCATAAAGTTAAAGAACTTGTGATTATTATTTATTTTCAATACACTCTAAATTTCTGTTGTGAATTTTGTAAAACTAGTTTTGGTATCGTTACAGGGTTGCATTTTTAGTTTATCATAATGAACAAAACAGAAAACAACAACATGGTGTTGCAATTAGGCAGAGCAGCTCTTCTAAACTTTTCATGTTCTTCAAATTGGACTGGCAAATAAGAATAAGTTCCTTATACTCACATAGCACTATTCTGCAAACTCCACTCAAATGACTTTACGGGTAACAGGGACCCCCCTCCACCACTACGTGCCGCACTCAACTGGATGATGCGACGGCGGCCATAGTGCTCCAGTACGCTCACCACACATCAGCTATCAGTGGGGAAGAGAAGAAAAGAAATGAAGCCGATTCATAGATGGAGATTATTAGGAGGCCATGATGGGGTAGAGGCCAGGGAGGACATTTGACCAGGTCACCAGTGTTTCGCTTTTAAGAAACACCCTTGGTTTTACATCTTATCCAAAGGATGGCACCTTTTTCTACAGTATAGTGTCCCTGTCACTATACTGGGTCATTAGGACCCACACAGACTGCAGGGTGACCCCCCACCCTACTGGTCCCAGTAATACATTTTCCAGCAACAACCTCAGTTTTCCCATGAGGTCTCCATCCAGGTACTGACCAGGCTCACACCTGCTTACCTTTGATGGGTTGTCAGCTGTGAGTTGGAGGGTGATGTAGCCGCTGACTAAATGGCGGTGATTGTCCTTTACTATCAGTAATTACAGTTCAGGTGGGTAGCTGCGTCAGCATGCGTAGGCTGCAAAGGAACAAGTAATAGATTTATTCCATGCTGAAATAAACATATAACTTGTTCCTATTAGTAATTATATTTTATTATTATTATTGCTTACACTTATAAAGCGCTTTTTTGGAAACTTCACTCAAAGCGCTTTACAGGTAATGGGGACTCCCCTCCACCACCACCACTGTGCAGCACCCACCTGATTACTAATACTTAAGTAATACTGATTACTTAATTCAATATTTACTTCAGAGGCTGGAGCAAGATCTGGAGGTTTTGAACGGCCTTGTGGGTTACCCTAATTACTCTTTGAAGTGTGTGACACACAGTTCTTAATTCTTAATCTCATGAATACATAATGTGCCATACAACCGTTTTCTCCCTTTAAGGCAGCACATGAAAAAATATCACAAAGACAAAGACGGAAAATTTGACTCCGATTTAGTGACGAATGCAAAACAGACTGCGTAGCTAGAAAGTACATACCTCCTACAAAACATTATAGCTTTGCAGTGCAATAAACGAGAGAGCAACTCTTCTGCTACCGGATAGATTATTGTTGCACTCTGAAGCGGTCACCATCTGTTTAGGCAGCTAGCTATTACACACTTTGCGCAGATTAATACAGTATACCGGTATTCATTTAGTATTGTTTACATTTTTTAAATTTCATGCACCCACAAACATTTCACATCAGTAACTTAACGCCATCAGTCAGAAATACAAAATCGTTGAGCATTTAATGCAGAGGTATTTCGAGGTATCAAAAACAGAATGACAGAGTGGATAAATAACAAAAGACCCCTTGAATTTCCAGAATAAAGCTAATCACATCTTAAAAGGTACAAACATGATACCCATTGACTGGTTCATTCGCGTCAAAAAGGTATTTTCAATACAATGAACTTTCTACAGCATTGTTTTATTGGCTGTTGTAGCCCCAATCCTCTTTTGTGATTGGATAGAATCTGTGTCGCTCCATTTATGGGAAACTGTCTCATTCTCTATTGGTCACTTGTCTAAGCCTCGCCCTCCGATTGGCTGGGGTGTTCCAGGTCTGGTGCCTACGGCAGGTCACTGGAAGACAAGGATGTAAATAGTGGCTCGGAAGAGTTGCTTGTTTTTTTTGGGGGGGGATGTAGATGTTTCTTACCTGAACGGCGAAGACGTTGGACGCCCCTTTGGAGAGTTATTGGGGAAGATGAGATGCAGGATATTGCGGTGTACGAGGTGGGTCTCGTGTGTGTGTTTTGTTATTTCGACTCGTTAAGGATCAGCTCAGAGCCGCGTTAAAAAAGCAGAGATTGGGGTGCGGCCTGCACTTGATATCCAGCAATGTTATGGTGGCTGTGCCAGCCAACTAACCACAGCTGCTAAAATGAAAGTGCAATAATTAAGCAAAATGAGCTGTTTATTACCGTAAGTAATCTCTGATTTATACGTGTATTCATTTGTTTTGTCTTTGGGCTGACTCAATAGACACGCACCGCACAGGTTGCAGTTATAGGTAACAAGGTTTTTAGCCTGTTTTTTTGTTGTGGATGTTATAGATCTGCTACTTTTCTATGTTTTTAACGTGGAATTAGTGATCATGAAATAAGTGAAAACGTTTCCCTGCACACATTGACTACACGAGCAATCTGTAAGTGATGTAGTTTCAGTACGTATAGTAGAGGCTTCCTGCATCTGTATCGGATCTTTTTAGTGACATATTCTTTCTTGATCTGGGGCACTGTAAAACTGTGCAGTGTCAAAAAAAAACCTAACTAAATAATATAAAATGATCCACAGGTTGCTATCCTTTGGAGGGTATCCTCTGTGACGGGGTGTTATTTCAGTCCTGACAAATTCCTGTCAATATAAGAACATGTAACTTTAGTAACCGTGTAAAGGACTTGAGTTAGCGTTTTAACTTCCTTAATCAAAGTGCCAGATAATTCTAAACAGGACATTTATCTCATTTTATAACCCACATCTATTTATGTCTGAACTTTAGAAAGTCACAAATTGTGGTTTTAATCGTTTACACATTATTGCAAAATACCTTGTGTGCTACAAAATATTTTTTTTATTTAAGATGTTTTTCTTTGTTGGTATCTCAAATATACTTTGACAAGCATTCTATGTATGAAACTATCAGCGAACCAAGCACACTTTCATCCAGGTACTCTTCCTGCAACTGCAGGACTTTTGTTTAAATCTCTCAAGTGTCAGTTGGGTTTGGTAAGCTATTCAAATGAAAATCGCACTTCATTGTTTCCAGTCCAGACACATGAGAGCACATTTACAGAGTTCAAGGACATTTCATATCTAAAAGAAATTGCAGTTTTTGGTTAAGACCAGGGATCTTAAGTTAACATGGGTTCCATTTTATTTACATAATCTAGACCTGATATTTTGGACTATTCTGATTAATTTACTGGAGGTAATTCTACAGGTACTGTAATGAGAGTTACAGTGTGTAATGTAAAATAGCAGTATATGGTGTGTGAGACAGAGCTTTTAATGGCAATCTAATAATACGAAGGTGGTCAGCCAGTTTTCACAGATTTCTCCTTGTTGTAACTTGTATATAGGTGAAGTAGTTTGAAGTGCTTTCACAGTGCATATGCTACTGTGGTGAAGTCAGGATTAATTTATTATGGAGTCAATCAACACGATCCATTTCTTTCTGTTGTATCTTGTCCTGGGTGAGTTCCAGGCCCTTCAACCCATGTGGCTTGTTGGGTTTCTTGAAGTAAATTTATTTCTTATTTTGGGGGGCTTGTTTTTGAATATTTCTGTGGAACAGCATGATGTGAGAACCTCAAATGCTTTGGTGATGATAGTCATTTTTAATATAATTTTAAACAATAAAAATGGCCATTCTTTTGTATCAGTATGCCATTCACACAGTGGTGAAGAAGGGCTAATTTATATCCTTCCATACTCCTTGGACTCACATTAAGGGGGCATAAATGCATAGCCCATGTTACAAGAAATGGAAGGCCATTTTTTCCCTTGAGGGTGTCATAGTGGTGCAGTGGTAAGCGTTGATGCCTCACAGTGCTGGGGACCTGGGTTCAGTTCTGGGCCTGGGTTGCTATCTGCATGGAGTTTGCATGGTCTCCCTGGGTTTGCGTGGGTTTCCTCCATGGGTTTCATCCCACAGTCCAAACACAGGCTGGGAGGTTAATTGGCTTCTGGGAAAATTGGCCCTGGGGTATATGTGTGCCCTGTGATGGGCTGTTATCCTGTCCAGGGTGTTTCCTGCCTTGCGCCTGTTGTTTGTTGGTATAGGCTCCAGCTCACCCGTGACTCCGAATTGGAAGAAGCATTTAGAAAATGGATAGATGTTCTCCTTAAAAAAAAAAAAGTATCCTGGTAGAATTCCACCTATAAAGATGCATATGCATGTAAGGACCTGTCCACTGGACTTCAGGCTCCCAACAGGACTGATAATTACATCAATTACGTCGACCCTCCCCCAGCACCATTCCACTGAGCACCATTCTGCTCAAGCCCTGGTTCTAAAAGCTTCATTTATTAGAGTGTGGCTTGAGACCCAGTCCCCCTTTATATCTTCGTAATGCTCATTCACTGAATGGTTTTAATGCAGTGCAATGAAAAACATCCTTGGTGAGTTGAGCGGCTGGAAAGAAATTTCTTTTTGCTCTGGGTTTGGTCCGTTGTGGGCATATTACATTGCTGGCCAGTTGTGTTTTGGGGACTACTTAATCACGAGCGGTCAGTTGTCAGACTGAATGGTGCGGACTTGTGTATTCATGATCTGGTCTCTGCTGTACCGTTTCAGTGACTTAATAGTTCACAGTCATTTCAGATTTGTTTAATTAATGAACTCTGTGTATGATCTTCTGCTGTGTAGTCCCTAGTGAGTCTGTTTTCATTTTCTTTTTCAGCAAATAACTTGATCGTAAAAAAGAATAAATGCCTCTATCCTTCTATAAAGCATCCGGAAACATCTGAGATTTTATGGCGCCTTCAGTGGCTTTATTAAGAGGTACTCTGAGACAAAAAAACAAAATCTTCCAGGCATACACAAAGGTGTGCTCTTGGGGAAGCATCAAGCGAGTTGTGTTGTACATACCCACAGTGATCGTGTTCATCAGCTCTGCCATCGATGTGGCCGTTCTGGTTTGTAGCTCGCAGCAGCACATGAGCCTAGGTTGGAAAATAACTAATCTTTAAAGGCTGTGTGAAAAGTGACCAACACGTTTGTAAAAGGAAATGGCAGCAAAGGAATACACACAACACTTATCAAGGATGATTATTGTACAATGGCACTTTAGGATGGTCCTCTGTTAAAAATAAGTAGCTAAGGAATGTCATGTTGAGTGTGAAAGAAGTGGGAATCAAATGGTTAAAGTACTGAATTTCAAAGAGACCCTGTATCTTTAGAGTAGCAGTTAGAAACTGAACATAGAACATTTTTATAAGAATCTTCAGGCCTGTCTATAGGAGCAGATCCGAGATAAGATCTTCGTATCATCTTATGCTTGCAATTTTACAATATGATGTTTGTAAGCATTTCCATGTTATTTTGCTGGTTTCAGTAATCCTGCTTAAAGCTATTTCACAATAAAGAAGCTTAGTCAAAAGAAAAGTGCTTACTGCTTGTAAGGAATGTAGTTTGTGTAGCTTTGGTATTCAAAAGATGTAAAACAAAACAATTTCAGTCTTTGAAAGCAGATCACTGTTGAGTTCTTTAAGGGTGTGTTGCCAGTCATTTTCCACCATGATAAAAAGTGTGCCTTCTACAGTACATCTGCTCAGATAACCCGATTGCATCCAAAAATCTTTCAATAGCTTGCACATTTAATGTTTTTGATGGGGGGAAAAAATGCCATTGTCTTGAGACAATTTGGTCTGGCTGGAGGTTGTTCAAATAAAATGACTGTTACACTAATAACACAATAATGGCTCTGCTAAGACAGCTTTTAAAGCTTTCTTTCTTCAAGGGCTCAGTGTCTTCTGTTTTTTTTCCACCCAAGCTCTCACTTACACAGTTGGTCTAATTGTTTAACCTCATAATTATAACACTTCAAGTCAGGCTCTAAGGTGTTTTATCGGTAACTGGATAATAAAGTGAATGCTTTGTGTAGTCAGCTAGAAATTCTGTTAATAAATATACAGAGCCTGTGTGATATACAAGAAGATACTTTGGATAATTGATTATATTCAATATTAGTAATAAACCTAATTTTTATGTAACACATTTAAAAGTGTCTTCTCAAAGCGCGTTACAGAACAACAACAGAAAAAGTCCCTGAGAGGAGATAGCAGAAGAGGGTATGGAATACCCTAAGTAGTAGTGGAAAAGCCAAGAGGCAAAGACCCAGTTAAATAAAAGCCCTTCTAAAAAAGAAGGTTTCTGTAGGGACAGAGCTCCAGAGCTCTAGGGCGCAGTAGGAGAAGCCCCGTCACCCACAGAGTGTAGACGGGCTTGGGGGACAGACAGGAGACCAGAATTAGAGGAGTGAAGATTGTGAGGTGGGGAGTAGAACGAGGATTACTTGGCTTAGAACAAAAACCAGGCAACACTAGTGTGTATGGTAACTGAGTCTGTGCCTGTTTAAAGAGGAGGCAATCACAAAATTCAGGGTTTAAATATTTTTTTTTTAGGTGAATAACCATTTTGACTTGTTGATGGAGCCACTTGGATCTAGGTTGAACTAAGCCGTTTTTCACTGAGGGTGCATGCTTGTCTTGTCTCTTGTGTTTGACGTATTCAGTTATGAAACCCCCCAAAAAAGTCTAAACTGCATCAGTATTCTGACTCCATCCATCCAGTTTTTGACCTCTTCCAGTCTGGGGTTGCTGGGAAGCAGGGTCCATCCCAGGGCAGACATAGACGCAAGTATCCAGGCACCAAACCAGGGCCAATTTTCCCAAAAGCCAATTAAAATGCCAGTATGTTTTTGGACTGTGGGAGGAATCCATAACAACCATGGAGATGGGGAGATTTATCCCAGATGGTAGCCCAGGTTTGGATTTGAACCCAGGGCCCCAGTGCTGCGAGGCAGTGATGCTATAGTAGGCCTGGACTGTATCTTTGTTGGTACAAGTTAAACATGAACAACTCTGAGAGCTTCTCATCCAACTTGGTAACCAATCTCTTTTGACTTCATTATATAGCCTTGCTCACACTGAGCTGTGGAGATGAGCAGATGCAGGATGAGAACCATTGGGTTAAGAAAGGAGAAGCACTGATCCCTGTGCACTTTAAGTAA